TTCAAATCTCGGAACAACCCTGCAAGGCTGGAATTATCGTACACAGTGTCTTACTGAGGAAACCGAGGTGCAGACAGCTGCCAAAGTTCGGCAGCTACAGCGTGACTTCAAATCTCAGGCTCTTTTCGCTAAAATCCTTCCTCAGATATAGGCTCTTATCTTCCTCTCTACCCAGCATGAAGACAAGAGCCATGTTTAAAGTTCTCAACCAACAGTGCACGGGATGACAGAGTGACTAATCGCTGCTTCGGCACAGTTGGCCCAGAAGCATGGCTGTCCGTGAGCTATGCTTGCATTTTAGAACAGGCCCCAGGCCATCTGGGAAGCCTGTGGGGTCTGTGCGTTTTGGAGAGTTTTGCTGCATATAATGTGAAAGAGTAAAATTAAAGCATTTAAACCAAGAGGGTAGTACGATCTTGCATTCCGGAGAAAGCCAGAGATGACGGAATATTCTTTATCAGCGGTCCTTTCTCATGTTATCAAGTAGATGCACAAATGACAAATGATGTGGGAAAACATAAGGACGTGGTTGACTTTTGAAAACTGCTAAACAACAACAAAACAAAACAAAAAAATTTTTTAAGAAATGCAAAAATGTCCTTTTCTATAGGGCTAAAACAAAATGTCTTCCTGGGGTTTTGAGAACAGTTTGATTAAGAATCTGAATACAGACATATATTTTACTCTTTAGAAAAATCCTGGAGCTCGCTCTTCCTGCCTCAAAATGGCCTGGCTGTCGTCTCAGGATCTCCCCTCAACAGACCCTGGGGAGCCTTTGACCCACCTCCACCCCCGTGTTGCCTCTCCTGCTTCTGGATCCCATTTCTCTCTTTTTGTACTCCTCCTTTTGGTGAAGCGTATCCTCCCATAAGCTTCCTGAGATGGAGTGCCTGTGGAGTAAATATTCTGTGACCTTGCATATTTGAAAATGTCTTTTTGGCTCCCTTCATAACTCTTTTTTTAGTTTGGGTGTAAAATTCTAATTTGGAAATTATTTTCCCTTGGAATTTTGTCTTCTAACTTCCAGTGTTACTGTTGAGGAATGCAGGAGCATTCTGATTCTTAGTCCTTCGCATAAGACCTCTTTTTTATTTCTGCAAATCCTTGGATCCTCAAATTTCACATCCATGAATCCATTTTGTTTATTTATTTATTTATTTATTTTTTGAGGAAGATTAGCCCTGAGCTAACATCTGCTGCCAGTCCTCCTCTTTTTGCTGAGGAAGACTGGCCCTGAGCTAACATCCATGCCCATCTTCCTCTACTTTGTATGTGGGACGCCTACCACAGCATGGAGTGCCAAGCAGTGCATAGGTCTGGACCAGGATCTGAATCGGTGAACACCGGGCCACCAAAGCAGAACGTGTGAACTTAACGGCTCTGCCACCAGGCCGGCCCACCACACTTGATTTTACATAATGCGTGGGTATGACTCCAATTGAGTCTGCATACTGAAAGGATTTTTCCATCTCATGTTGGTCCTAATTTCCATTTCTCTAGACTATTTCACTTCTTTCTTTGAACTTTACAGGCCACAATGTCATATCATAAGTGGACAAAACTAAGACTCCTCTTTCCATCTTAGTGACCATGAAATGTACACCGATTAATTACCCTTTTGTTTCTCTGAAACTCGTCCTGCCACGTCCCTTAGCTCTATAAAGCCCCCTGCTGCCTTCTCTCCTTGAAGTGGATTTGAGAGAACCCATGCTCCCACCTTCTCTTCTCGGCCAATTCAAATAAACCTTTCTCCATCTCCAAGCACCTGATGTCTCGGTGTTTGGCACATGAACTTGAGAATTAAGAGGTTCAGTAACAGGGAGAGGAAAGGACTTGACCTTAAAGGGTGGGAGGGGTAAGGGCAGAGCCAGTCATCCACCATGGGTCTGAGAGCCCACACCTCTCAGGCTACCAACCAGACCCAGCTGGATCAGGGACACCAGGCACAGCTGAGGTGTGGGAGCTATAAGAAAACAAGGGATTAAATGAATATCTGCTGGGGAACGGTGAGACGCCCCAAGCCCTGCCCAGGTGCATGAGTTTTCCTAGAACAGGAAACAGCAAACTTTTTCTATAAAGGGCCAGATGATAAACATAGGCTTTGCAGGCCACATGGTTGATGTCACAGCTACTTAACTCTGCCGCTGTGGCTCAAAAGCAGCCAGAGACTCTATGGAAACAAAGGAGCGTGGCTGCAGTCCAAAAGCACTTTACTGGTGGACAGTGAAATTTGAATTTAATATAATTTTCATGAACAATTACTCTGCTTTCAATTTTCTTCCGAACCATTTAAAAACGTACAATTCTTAGATGGCTGGCTATACAAAAAGGAGTGGTGAGCTGCATTTGGCCACGGGTGGAAATTTGCCAACCCATGTCCCGGAATATCATTGTCAAGAGTTTATCGTCAAAAGCTTCTGAACTGGGCCGGCCCGGTGGCACAGCAGTTAATTTCGCACGTTCTGCTTTGGCGGTCCAGGGTTCACGGGTTCGGATCCCAGGTGTGGACCTACACACTACTTGTCAAGCCATGCTGTGGAAGGCATCCCACATGTAAAGTATAGGAAGATGGGCATGGATGCTAGCTCAGGGCCAGGCTTCCTCAGCAAAAAGAGGAGGATTGGTGGCAGATGTTAGCTCAGGGCTAGTCTTCCTCAAAAGAAAAAAAAGGCTTCTGAACCTTTCTCACTCTTCCCCTCAGCAATGCCTCTAGTGCTACTTTCTTTTTTTTATTATTATTATTTGTTTTTTATTGTGGTAACATTGGTTTATAACATTATATAAATTTTGGGTGTACATCATTATATTTCAGTTTCTGTGTAGATTACATCATGTTTACCACCCAAAGACTGATTTCCATCCATCACCACACACGCGTGCCTAATCACCCCTTTTGCCCTCACCCCTTTCCCTCTGGTAACCACCAATCCAGGCTCTGTCTCTATGTGTTTGTTTGTTGTTTTTATCTTCTATTTCTGAGTGAGATCATACAGTATTTGACTTTCTCCCCTCTGACTTATTTCACTTAGCATAATACCTTCAAAGTCCATCCATGTTGTCACAATGGCCAGATTTCATCCTTTTTTATGGCTGAGTAGTATTCCATTGTATAAATATACCAATCTTCTTTATCCATTCATCCCTTGATGGGCACCTAGGTTGCTTCCAAGTCTTGGCTGTTGTGAATAATGCTGCAGTGAACCTAGGGGTGCATATATCTTTATGCATTCATGTTTTCACGTTCTTTGGATAAATACCCAGCAGTGGAATAGCTGTATCGTATGGTAGTTCTATTTTTAATTTTTTGCGGAATCTCCAAACTGTTTTCCATAGTGGCTGCACCAGTTTGTACTCCCACCAGCAGCATACAGGGGTTCCCTTCACTCCACATCCTCTCCAACACTTGTTATTTCCTGTCTTGCTAGTTATAGCCATTCTGATGGGAGTGAGGTGATATCTCGTTGTAGTTTTGATTTACATTTCCCTGATAGGTAGTGATGTTGAACATCTTTTCATGTGCCTGTTGGCCATTCTGTATATCTTCTTTGGAGAAATGTCTGTTCAGATCTTTTGCCCATTTTTCAATTGGGTTGTTAGTTTTTTTTGTTGTTGAGATGTATGAGTTCTTTATATATTTTGGACATTAACCCCTTATGTGATATATGGTTTGAAAATATCTTCTCCCAATTGTTAGGTTGTCTTTTTGATTTGTCGATGGTCTCCTTTGCTGTGCAAAAGTTTCTTGGTTTGATGTAGTCCCATTTGTTTACTTTTTCTATTGTTTCCCTTGCCCAGTCAGACATGATATTGGAAAAAATACTGCTGTGACCGATGTCGAAGAGCATACTGCTTATGTTTTCTTCTAAAAGTTCCATGGTTTCAGGTCTTACATTCAAGTCTTTAATCCATTTTGAGTCAATTTTTGGGTATCCAGCGCTAATTTCTGTCTGTAGGTATAAGGGTTACTGGTTCTTTCTCCCTCATGCCGGCTCCAAGGTGTGCCATGGAAATTTAGACATTTATGGATTGCCTTGGAATGGAAAAGGTGGTAACGGTGATTCCAAGCGTTCCTGCCAAGTTCTGCCGCAGGTGGAACAAGTTGTTGATTGTTCTCTCTCTCTGGATTTTAACCAAGGTGATAAATGAGTGCAGTGAGACATCTCTGGGACAGAGCCCTGACTGCCAGACCTTGAGCTTATCTGAGGCAAAATCTGTCTCGAGCAGAAAAGACTATTTCAAGTCAGCCAGTAACTGCTTGGTCTCAGCTTTCAAATCATCAAAGAAAGAAATCCCACCTTGCTTAGTTGCAGGGGCAGAATAGGGGTTTGACCGAAAAAAGAGCTGCTTCTGCCACTTATTATTGTGTATTTTGGGGGCAAGTCAGTTCTCCTTGCTGAGCCTCAATTTCTTTATCTCTAAAATGGGGATAATCACCCCTCCCTCACTGGTAGTTGTGTGGATTAAAAACTTAACATATATTAAGTCCTTGTGACATCAAGGGGGCTCAACAAATGGCAGATAGTATAATTCTAATGTATCTAGACAAGGAAACTCAGAGAGGTTAAGGCACCTTCCAAAGGGCACACAGCTAAATATATGGAGGCAGGGTGGCGGCAGGAATACAATTTGTTTTCTCAACCCTCCACATGATTTTCTTTCTTCTACCCTGTACTGCCTGAAAAGGAGACAGTTCTTTCCTTCACCACACTTGAAATGCTACAGTAGGGAAGGCATTGGGGCTGTGGCACATCAGGGGAAAAAACTGTTCCCCGTTTTTCTCGCACTCCCTTGGCTTCTGCTGCAGGTGACAGACCCTCTTCCCTCGTGGTCAGACACTGAGCAAAGCTGACTTCTCCATACTGTATGGCGCAGGGGGTATTGGTGGGCCCCACCCCTTAGCCACCTGCCCTTGGCTCCTCCAGCACCCCTTATCTCCCCCTCACCCCCTTCCCGATGCAGGCTCCCTGCCTCTGAGCTGGGCAGCTGCAAAGGATAGTTACAAAGATTCTTTGTAATGTGTTTACACGGGGAGGAGTGAAGGCAGGGGCCTGGCTGTGCTCAAAGCACATGGGCCCCCAGCCCTGTTTACACAAAGAGAGAAGGAGCCAAGATAGATGACCCTGTTGCTCAGGGGCCCAGATTAAAAACCTAACCCAAGTCCAGAGCCCACGCGCAGGCTCCTCGTTTCTGAGCTACACCACACAGAAGCAGCTCCGAGGCGCCTTTCCCTGGGAGGCCTGCTGACTCTGCCGGGTGAGAGATGTTTGCACAGGGAGGGAGGTGGCAGCGGCCATCTGGCTGTTCCCTGGCTCAGCAGGGGAGCATTTGCAGGTCAGGCACCGGCTGTGTTCCAGGGCCTGTGGGGAGGCAGCCCCTGGACAACAGTCTTTCTGAGATACTTGTCTCTTCTTTGAGAGTGAAAATGGACAGTTTGGGAAAATTCTTGAAACAGTGCTATTTTTTCCCCTTTAATTCATACCCACACCAAATAAATCTTCTAGGATCTTTCCCCTAGTTTTATTTTGCAGGGTGAGAAGAAACGCAGTTTTCAGCATTTAAAGAATCGTGATGGTTGTTGGCACCTATAAGGTACTTTGCAGTTCACAAAGCATCATCATATCCTCCATTCCACACAATCCTCAGGACAGCGGGGTAAGTAGTTGTGGCCAAAATCGCCCCTAGTTTACAGATGGAGAGTTGACACTTAGAGAAGTCAAGTCACCTGCAGGAAACCACACACCCAGGAAGAGGCAGCAGCCAGGTGACCACACATTCCATGCTCTTTCCACTCTGCCCCTGACTCCCCATTTGGCGGAAAAGCAAGGTGTGCAGAGAGCTTGTTCCAACTTGTAACCCCCTTGCAGGTGGCACCCGGGAGACAGCCTTGTGTCTCAGAGACATGGTGGAAGCCAAGACAGTGAGCCACAAGGGCACTATGCTGGGACTATGGGTCTGCCCTTGGGTATCACCAATGGGGCACTCCCTGGGCACCAGACGAAGCCTTATGTTGACCAACTGTATGAAATGGCATGTAACATACACACTCTTCTACCACCAGTGGAATCACAGAGGCTAGGGCATGTGTTATAGAATCATTGAAGCTTTCCTCCAAGTTCTCTAGTCCCTGCCTCCTCTTGGGCTTGATCTCCCTGTGTTCAAACCTGCATATGTCCACCTGAAGCCATTACCTGAGTTCCAATTTCTGTCCTAGCCAGTTCTTCCCAGTTCTTTATACTGCCTTTTATAACCCAAAATACCAAACCCACCCAACAGGTGTCATTCCCAGCTTTCTCCTCTTTCTCTCTCCGTCTCTGTCCCTTAAGTCCAGCACCACTGCTCGATTCAAATGGCTTTGACTTGTATGATTGACTGGAACTTCTCAGCTCTGCTTTGGCCGCTCTTAGCCCAGTCCTTCTCTTTTCTTTCTTGCTGCTGTCAAATCCTGGCTCTCCTCTCTTCTAGCCAATCTATCCTTTAGTGACTACCTTTCTATGACAACGAATGTGTTACTGGGTTCTGCAGCTTGCAAAGAACTTTTGCACACGTGCATATAGAAATAAATTCATACGAAGTCTTAGTTAGAAGCTAGCTCCTCCTCTGTACCAGGTCTCCATTCATCTCCTGCCTAAACTACTAAAACTGTCTTTTGTTTGTCTTCACCTTGAATGCACCTGAATCCTGCCTGCCATCTTTTTTTTTAACCAACCTACACTCAGATCTTTCATTACCTTCCTGATAAAATGCTATTTATAAGCTCTCAAGTATTGTTCCTATTGTGAAGGCCTCACTTCCCTTCCTCCAAAAATTCTAATTAGCTCTCTCCTGTACCCTTCTTTATTTTCTCTCGACATTCGGTACCTGTCGTCGATTGTTAGCATCATCAGACTGTGAATCCTGGAGCCAGAAGCTTTAAGGATCATGTGGCCGGTGAATGATAGCCACCCTGTGCTGCCTACGAGTGTTTGTACATCCACAATATGCTTCCTTACACTGTAAGCTCCCTGGAGCAAAGATGATCCTTTTCCTTTATAAACTACGCAGATGGTTAGAGGAATCTCTGAGGTTAGTTCAGCTGTTCTCCAGGTTCCAGCCCAACTCTGAGATGCATCTCTGTGCCATGTGCTCTCTCTCCTTTGCCATTTGGCCAATAGCAGAGGCAAAGTGGGGAGGCACTGCTATAAATGACTCTCAGTTTGCCTGTGATTGAAACTCTGATGATCAGAGAAGGCTTGGTACTGTGTCCTAGGGTTGAATCCCAGAATTTCAAAGAAGGTCTTGCAAAATTTGTACACAGCCTGCACAAATGAAGACGAGACCTGGGAACACAGCCCAGTGTTATCATTGTCTTCTCTACCTTGGTTCTTAAAGGGTGAAGAAGGACCACCCTATTCCTCTTGGGTGCCTGTCAGAGCCACTGGAGTTGTACTAAGCTCTCCTATATCCGTGCCACCTTTGTGTGCTGTAGACAGAGGCTGCCCTGTCATTGGCATACAGACAGGGAAGAGTTGCTGGGTGGGACCACATATGCAGCTCAAGTCCAAGGGTCAGTCAACAGCCCAGAGCCCTAAACTCATCTTGTGTCCAATGTGTGTGAGTCAAAAAATACAATAATGATAACAACTACATTACTAGCTAACCACAATAGTTCACAGTGTGCCAGACACTGTACCAGGGCTTTATGTGGGTCAACTCAGTTAGAGCCTCATGACTACCCAATGGGATAGATGCTGTCATAATTCCAGTTTTACAGACAAAGAAATGGAGGCTCCAAAAGGTTAGGTAACCAGGCCAACAGTAAGTGGTACAGATGAGATTGGAACCAGGGCCATCTTAATCCAATGCCCATGCATTGCATACCAGACATGGGAAGGTTGTCGCCTGGGCTTATTTGGGAATGAGGCCACAGGCTTGTTTTTGGGTTTTGTTTTGATGAGGGTTTTGTTTGATGAGGGCACCAATGTCCTCATTCAGACCCAGGTGCTTTTGTGCTGGTGTGACCAGATGTGGACTGGAATTCTGTTTGATGACTGGAGTCCAAAGTAAGGACAGGGAGGCTCAAAATTCTGGAGGACACCCCCAGCCCACAGCACAGTACCTCAAAGATCCCAGACGCCAGTAACAGGAGGAGGCTGGCATCTTGTTCTCTGGATGGGTCTCACCCAAGGGACCCAGCAAAAAAAATGGAAGGAGGTCTTGCTGGGGAAGATCTATAGGGACAGGGGGCTAGGCAGGGAGCCGGCTCCTGAGGGCCCACTGAAGATTTCATCCTTGTACTTCACGAGGCACCATTTGGATGTCTGACACACAGACCATCAGTCATGGTAGATGATATTTTCCAAAAGTGGCCACAGCAATATATTCTGGCCTCACATGCACTTCCAGAACCTTGATACTCCCCATCACTCTCTGTCACCTCCCCTTGAAACTGAAGGTGAATTTATGACTTCCCTGAGGAACCGAACACTGTGAAAGTCATGCTGTGTGACTTCTGAGGCTGGGTGATAAAACAACATGGCCTCCATTTGGCACTTTCTCTCTCTCATGGTTGTCCTTGGATCCCAGCCACTATCCTGTGAGGAGGCCCAGGCCATGTGGAGAGGCCGCATGCAGGTGTTCCAACCAATGGCCCCAGCTAAGATCTCAGCTGACAGCCAGAATCAACCACCAGACTAGGAGGGAGTGAGAGAGATTTCAGATAGTCCAACCCCAGCCTGTGAGCCTCCCCCGCTGAGTGAAGTGGAGCAGAGACAAGGCAACCATGCTGGTCCCTGCCCCAAATTGAAGATAAAGGTTGTCATTGTTTAAACCCACCACATTTTGGAATGATTTGTTTTGAGGCCTAAGTTACTGGAACACTGTGTTACATAGTGAGCAGCGACAGCCCGCAGAAGGAGCAGTAATGGACCTTTGACCCTTTCCTCCTCCCTCCTCTCTGCCCAACAGGCCAAGAGACCACAGCTCAGCCCAGGAAAGGGGAGGAGGAGGCAGTCTCCTAGAAGCTGACCACTGTTTCCTCCACTCCGGGCAGAGGGAGGGAGAAGAGCAAAGTGGAGACCACACTCGCCTTCCCACTGCGTTCCCCAGCCACAACCTGGCCAACAGTAAAGGAGAGAACTTTAGAATCAGAGGTGAGACCAGGGCTCTAAACTAGGCAGAATCTTAACTGAAAGTGACTAGAAAGTATGGAATCTCCGTCAGGTGTCATTTAAAAATCTGTCACTCAGGGGCTGGCCCCGTGGCCTAGTGGTGGAGTTGGTGCGCTCTGCTGCAGGCGGCCCAGTGTTTGGTTGGTTCGAGTCCTGGGCGCGGACATGGCACTGCTCGTCGAGCCACGCTGAGACGGCGTCCCACATGCCACAACTAGCAGGACCCGCAGCGAAGAATATACAACTGTGTACTGCGGGGCTTTGGGGAGAAAAAAGAAAAAAAAATTAAATAAATAAAAAAAATAAAATCTTTAAGAAAAAAAAATCTGTCGCTTAGGGAGATGAGAGATTCGACAATACCAGAAGGGTACTATCATGGATGAAAAAACTATTTCATGTGTGTGCCCCTCTGAATTGAGAATGCTCAGTAAAGTGGTTATATTCGCCAAGTAACCAAACTTATTCCTACCCAGGGCCCTAGTGTGGGCACCATCTTGAGGCAGTGGGAATGTGGGAGTTAGATGATGCAAGCAGATATGGCTGGAGGCGCGGAGACTCTGAGACTTGATCAGAGTAATTCCGACAAAGACATGATGCTGGAGTATTTTGAAAAGAGGGTCTCACTGGATAAGGATGTGCCATACAACCTACTATCTTCCCCTGGAGGGATACTACCTACTATAGGTATGAAGGCTATGGCTAATCTTTGCCAGATTATTCTGTGGCAAACATCATCCTAGGAGCTTTTTATTTAAATCTCACAACAACCAGTAGAGGCGGGTTCTGTTGATGGCGCCATTTCACAGACAGGGAAACTGAGGTTCAGAGAGGTTAAGTAACCATCCCAGGTTCACTTTCCCAAGGTCGGTCTCTCTCTCTCATATACACAAGAGGTTAAGTAGCCTCCCCAAGGTGGCAGAGCAAGGCTATAAAGCCAAGTATGACCACAAGGCCAAAGAGAAGACTCCTCCACTGCTTTGCCTGTCCTCTTGAGGGCTAGTACCATTGAGGACCGCTGTGTTAAGGCAGGGAGTTTTATTCCCAGTTCAGCTGGAGCTCCAAGCTATAAATATTTAGAAATTGTCAATTTCCCTTCTTCCCTGAATCTTCTCTGTTCCTGACATTTTATAGTGGCTATTAGGCAACTCTTCTTCCCACCCCATAGACCAACTCTTTCCCCACCATGTCCTCGAGGATGGTTCACCTATGGGAAAGAAAGTACAAGCCATTTTCTTTTGAGGATAAATGGAACATATTCCTAAGTCCCCTACAAAGGGTCTTTGGCTCTTCCTATGAAACTTTTTCAAATACTCATTCTGGACCTTTCCCTTTGATTATCAGCACTGTGACAAGGAAGAATTTGCATGTGGAAACAACTATATGATAAGCAGAGCCTGCTCCATCTTTTGTGTGTGTGTGTGTGAGGAAGATTGGCCCTGAGCTAACATCTGTTGCTAGTCTTCCTCTTTTTGCTTGAGGAAGATTGATGCTGAGCTAACATCTGTGCCAATCTTCCTCTATTTATGTGAGGTGCCGCCACAGTGTGACCTGACCAGCAGTGCTAGCTCCATACCTGGGATCCGAACTTGTGAACTCTGGGCTGCCAAAGTGGAGTGTGCAAACTCAACCACTATGCCACCAGGGCAGCCCCTCTCCATCCCTTTTTAAGCTTTCTATGTCCTCCTAACTGGAAGCTTTGGGAAAACCATGGATTTTGCATGTTAAGAGCAACCAGGAAGCCAAGAAAGGTTTGTGTATGAGGAAGAACCTGTTTTACGCCACTTCCAAGGAAAACAATCGCCCAATATTAGGTGAAGTAGTGGCAACTGCCTTCACAATTTAGCAGGGAATTGCTTCTCCAGGGAAACGTTGTGATCTCAGAAACCAGAATGGGGACAGATCCTTAATCACGTATCTTTAGATAAGGCTGGGCACGGCCCACTTTTCCATGGAAGGGCTAGACGTGCTCTGATAAACTGAGATCTGGAACCAGGCTTTCTAGCTGGATAGGTGAAGGCACTGAGGAAAGAAACCCAACTGAGGACCCCAGAAGGAAGTCCTGACCAGCATGAAACTGACTGTCCCGAGGGTCTGGGAAAGATAGGCAAAGAGTTGGCATGGGAATCTCACAGAAAGTAGCAGGAGGCACCAACATTAGCTGGGAATCTAGGGCAGGTGATATTGAGAAGCAGGTAAGTAGGTGGCATCTGGGAGTTCTGCCAAGAGGGATCTAGAATCCACTTGCTTCAATCAGGAGCAGGCGGGAAAGCCTCCAGTCCCTGGATAAGAAGTGACAAGGCTAAAGCCCTCTGCCACTCCTAAATGGACCAAGGTGCTATGCAAATCCCAAACCAGGACATCAGGCACAGGGATGAGGCAGGATTCCAGACATGGGAACTCAGATAAAAGGTAGAAGGAGATCTGCTCTTTGGAACCAAACAGAAATTCATGTCACAGAACTGGTGCCCAAGAGTAACCAGAGTGACCTTCTACTGAGACCCAGTGTTCAGCTGGGTCCCCTTACATCTTTCTCTGATATGAATGGGCCTGCAAACGAGGGGCCAGCTCAGCTTCAGAAGGACCACCAGTGGTCCCAGCTGGGGGAAGCACAGCGGGACTTGACTTTCTCCTCCCTCTGGGTCATGTCATTGCAGTCCAGCCACCATTTCTTCTCATCCCTATGTTTAAAAGTTAAGATGAATTCAAAAACATATCTGCACCCTCATGTTCACTGCAGCATTATTTACTATAGCCAAGATATGGAGACAATCTGACAGTCCATTGATGAATGAACTGATAAAGAAAATGTGGTGTGTATATATTACATATATATATACACAATGGAATATTGTTCAGCCATAAATGAGAATGAAATCTTGCCATCTGTGACAAAACGGATGGACCTCGAGGGCATTATGCTAAGTGAAATAAGTCAGAAAAATATTGTATGATCTCACTTATATGTGGAATCTAAAAAAAGAAACAAAAAAAAAAGCTCATAGATATAGAGAACAGATTGGTGGTTGCCAGAGGGGAGGGGTGAGGAGTGGGTGAAAAAGGGTGAAGCTAGTCGGAAGTACAAACTTCCAGTTACAAAATAAATAAGTCATGGGGATGTAATGTATAGCATGGGGACAATAGTTAACAGTATTGTATTGTGTATTTGAAAGTTGCTAACAGAGTAGATCTTAAAAGTTCTCGTCACAAGAAAAAAATTGTAACTGTGTGGTGATTTAGACTTACTGTGGTGATCATTTTGCAATATAAACAAATATTGACTCATTATGTTGTACGCCCAAAACTAATATAAAGTTATATGTCAATTATATCTCAATCTGAAAAAAAGAAAGAGAAAAAAACTTAAGAAGAAATGGCACCCTGGTCCAAAACCATTAAGCACCAGGTCTAGGATTCTGTCATTAAAGGGAAGCACAAGACATATTTTTGTAATTGCACACATATATCCTCAAATACTAAAAATATCCTCAAAATGACTAGTCTTATTATGTAATCTGTCAGCCATCTATGAGCTACACTCTTCTTCCCACCCAGCACCGCTCAGTATCAAAGAAGCTCAGCCTGACAGATGCATCTCGAGGGACCATCTAGTCTACCTTTTCTCTGACACAACACTCCCAGCAAGAGACTATCTATCCTCTCTTTGACCAGCTTTGAAACCATCGCTTCCTAAGGCAAAGCTCTTCCTTTTATCTTACAAAGCTTTTCCTTATACTGAGCCAGAATCGGCATTCCTAATAACTCCCATACAGTGGTCTTTGCTTTGTCTGCTGGAACCACAATGGAGAATTGATTTCCTGTGGAGACAGGAGTCAGGCACTATTATGGGCTGAATTATGTCCCCCCTAAAATGCCTATGTTGAATTCCTAACCCCCCAGTACCACAGAATGTGACTGTATTTGGAGATAGGGTTTTAAAAGCTAATTAAGTTAAAATGAGGTCATTGGGCTGGGCCCTAATCCAATAGGACTGGTGTCCTTGAAAGAAGAGGCAATTAGGACACAGACACATGGAGAGAAGACCATGTGAGGACACAGGGAGAAGACAGCCATCTACAAGCTAAGGAGAGAGGCCTCAGAAGGAACCAACCCTGCCAACACCTTGATCTTGGACTTCACCTCCAGACCATAAGACAACACATGTCTGTTGTTTAAGCTGCCCAGTCTATGGTACTTTGTTAGGGCAACCTCAGCAGACTGACACAGGCCCCTTCCCAAGTCCCCTCTTCAGCCTAAGCTGCTCTTCTGGCTGAAGCCCAGAGGAGAAGCTTCCATTGCTCCATCCCCATATGGCTAGCTCTCCTCTCACTGCTCTCTGCTTTGTTCCGGCGTCCAGAAGGTGAAGCCTTGCACCCAAGTGACCTGACGGTTGCGGAGGCAGGTGTGCCTTTCCCTCCGTGTTTGGACTCTGTGCTGCTATCTCTGCAGCCTAGGATTTGTTTGACGTTTATTGAATCACACTGTTGGCTCACATTGAGCTTACAATGCATGAAGAGCCCCAGGCCTTGTTAACTACTATTGCTGCCAGAAAGCCACCTCTTTCACTTCCAGTCCTTTCATATTTATTTTTTCCAGACTGATGCTCCATCTTGGACAGTGGCCACAAGGATATTTTGCAGACTTTTCCACCTACATGCAGAACATTTGGCCCTATTACATTTTAACTCATCTACTCCCTGTTTATTATTGGGGGAGGGGACAAGGATTGCTTTTCTACCTTCAACATACTAGCTAACACCATTAGCTTAGAGTCACATACAAATCTAACTTTATGTTACCAACGTTCTTATATAACATTGATAAAACAGAAAACAGGTCCTAAAAAGCACATATAAGAGGATCTGGTTGAACAGGAAACAACAGGACAGAATCCACTAGGAGCTGGCTCTGGACACGCCATTCCAAATTGATGTGAGCTTATTCATATAACTTGGGTCTGGTAATTCAACCAACTGAAAAGTACATCCAACTCTGCCATTACCTGCCTTGCATTCATTCAGCAAGGACTCACTGAGGGCCACACTTCTCCAGCTTGTCCCCTGGAGTAAGGTCCATAAACTCACTGTCTTCTCTATAAAGCAGCATCTCCAGGTATTTGTCCTTTGTGCGGTGCTTGGGCTTCTTCATTCTAGTATTCCAAGATTCAATGATTAAGCCTGTTTTACTCCAGCCACACCATTTACAATTTTTCAGACTTACAGGTCTCCCAGATTTCTACTTCTGGCCATATGGCAGACAAGATGATCAGAGAAAGCTTCCCCATATAGCACACCGAAAAATGGTGGGTTCCATGCAAAATATGTCTTTTTTTAATGCATGAATGAGCTGGTGGGAAAGGAAAGGAATCCTCTGGAGGCCAGAAATGACAAGGAAGCACTAATCCAGATGGAAAGCACACACTAGAGAGACTTCCCTGAAGAGTCTGCTCATCTCTTGCGTCTAGAGCATGGGTTTTAACAGGCCACACATCATGAGGGCAGGAGACAAAGCTGAGGACCTGAGACCTCTGCCAAAAGCTGGGAACCTCAAGGACAACACTCTGAAGGGTGAACAAAAATAAAATCCACCCCAAAGCAGAAGACAATGGGGATATGTAGCTATTCAGGCCTTGGAAAATTCTTAACCACAAAGCCACCCTCACAAAGGTTTGGGGCCTGAAATCACACTATCTGAGTGACCCAAAAGATCTCTAGTTAAATTTAGTTTATAGTGATCCTGTCTTATTAATCTTCCTGGGTATAAGACTGAATCAAACACAGATTCTCACTATAAACCCAGGGCTCATTTAACTCCCAAAGAGAAAAGTCTGAGGAACCCACAATAAAAAGTCACTAAGCATGTGAGAAGATTTACCCTCCGAGGTCCCTAGTGCCTGGTGTCAGCAACACATTCAGGGATGCACCCCTTCAGGATTAAGTCTACTAGTTTTCACAACATGGAAGTCAAACTTGGGAGCACAGTTTCTAGAGTGCCCTTCAGAAACTGTTATTTGCTCAGGGCAGCCTGCCAGTCCTTCAGCACAGCACCCCTTCGTAACAATAAATCACTACAGTTGGTGCTTTCAACCCTTTCACCTTTGAGTTCTTTCAAAACTCTTGGTGGATGCAACCTGATCTCATTAACTGAGCTTGTTTATCAACAGGTCTAGAGCCTTGGAGCTACAGCACTATTTCATATAGTTCCTTTACTGTGGGACCAACAACCTCATTTCTTGGAATCTATCCTCAGGAAAATAACCAGAGATGTCTTTAGTGATTATATACAAACATGTTTTCTTTTCTCATAGTACCACTATGAAACTGTCTTATTTGATTATTTACTCGTCTCTTTTCCCCGTACGGATGTAAGCACCATTATTTCCTCTTCTAATTAAGATTACAATAAGAATAGCAATAATAATAACGATGGAAAGTAACATGCATCGAGTGTTCACTGTGTGCCACATGGTTTGCTATGCACTTTATACACGTTATGTCATTGAACTCTCACAAAGACTTTATGAGCTTAGAACAATGATCACCATTATCAATTACTATTAGTAATTACCAATGATTAATTATCATCATTTTACAGATGAAGAAACTGAAGGCTTAGAGAGGTTATTAAGAAGCCCCCAAAGACTAGTTAGTGGTGGAGTTCAGACTTGAACTCAGCTCCATTTGACTCTAATTTTTATGCTCTGAATAAGGACACTGTGCCTGGTGTATGGGAAAGCTTAAAAGGAGCTCACCGGTCTCTTAAGTCATTCCACGGAAAAGGCACTATGCAGAAGAGTATCCTAGATTTTTAAGTTTCTTGTCTAGTATGGCAGAACCTGTTGGTTAGTCTACTCAAATCTCTGCCCCTACCGCCCCTAGGATCTCAGCTGTCCTGTTTTTGCCCTGCTAGCATAGCCCTGATTTTGTTTAGATTCTCCCCTTCCATACGGCTCACAGGTACCACATCCCAGGCAGTGAATCTCCGTAAGTCTTAGCCAATCCTGGTGATTCTATCCTCCATGCTCTTATGCTTCTTGGCATGAGTATGTGATTCTATTCTAGCTGAAGAGATGTGAAAGTCTACTGGGAGTGAGAGCGAGGGCAAACAGTTATAAGATTTTCCCCGCTCTTAAAAAGGGACACAAGACAGAAGACACGCCAGTCCCTTTTACAAGCTCTGAATATGGTATGAGGAGATGACTGAGGCTGTGGCAGCCATCTTGGGACCACCAAGGAAACAGCCAAAAGCATCAGTCAGGTGTGTTATAAAATTTTCTCACTTGTCTTTTAATTTTGTAAGTGTGTTTTTTTCAACTAGTTTTAAAAGGCTTTTAATTTAAAAATCTACCATTTTTTTTTCATGGTTCCTGTCTCTGGTATTATTTGAATTGGAACTTTGGATAGTAAGAGATAGATATTGAGCTGAAATAAGCTGTGGCAAAAGTGAGAATTTATTAACTCACATAACCAGAAAGGACAGGGTGTAACCTAGCATTGCAGGAGGTAGAGACTAGCCATCCTCTGTTTGCTTCTCAGCTTGCTTTTCCCTCCTTGGCAGAGCTTTATTTTCTCATGATGGCTGTATCCAAAAGGCTAGAATCACCGCCAATGGCAGTGCCAGGAGACACATCTTAGTTTCATGAACAGGGAGGGGGTTCAAAGAATCTCAAGGTGACTCAGACTGGTAGCCAGAGGAGTTATTAGCCCTGCTTGGATGAGGAGCTCACCTCTAGACCAGCCACCGTGGCCAGGAAGACGGATTCACATGAGAGGACACCGCTTGCCCAAACCACTTGTCCATGGCAGCAGGGGGTGGGGAGTGCAAGGGCAGGGCAGGGCAGGGTCCTCGGAAGAGGGGAGCTGCTGGGTGGACGAGTCAATGGATGCCTACCTCAGGTGTCATGCTTAATAATCTCCCACTGCCCAAAGGGTACAAATAGTCACGCCTCCTTTCTTCTATTACTTATTTGGTTTTATATTTTATGTTTAAAATTTTAATCCATCTGGAATTTATTTTGATCTAAGTATAAAGTACACATCTAATGTTTCATGTTTTCCAGATTGGTAACCAATAACCCCAAAACACAACCATGTGATGGGCTACAGAAATAAGAGTTGTAGCGTGGAATACTACTCAGCCATAAAAAAGACAAAACTGTCCCATTTGTGACAACATGGATGCACCTTCAGGGTATTGTGCTGATTGAAATAAGTCATGCAGAGAAAGAAGGGCACCATACGATTTCATTCACATGTAGCACACAAACAAACACATAGATAAGGAGAACAGATTGGTGGTGACCAGAGGAGAAGGGGGTGGGAGGAGGGTGAAAGGGGTAAAGGGGCACATGTGTATGATGACAGATAAAAACTAGACTACTGGTGGTGAATACAATGCAATCAATACAGAAACTGAAATAGAATAATGTTCGCCTGAAATTACACAGTTATAAATGAATATGACCTCAATAAAATAATTTTTTAAAAAAGAAAGGGGCCTGCCTGGTGGCATGGTGGTTAAGTTCTCATGTTCCGCTTTGGCGGCCTAGGGTTCACAGGTTCAGATCCCGGGCACGGACCTACACACGGTTCATCAAGTCATGCTGTGGGGCTGTCCCACATACAAAATAGAGCAAGATTGGCAGATGTTAGCTCAGGGCCAATCTTCCTCACCAGAAAAAAAAAAAAGAAAGAAAGAAGACCTGTAGCAACTATACATATTTTCTTCCTTATTTGTATTATATTTTATATTTATATATGTATTTATATATTTCTATATATTCACTAATCATTCCTTTTTTCCTCTCTCTGTTTATACTACAACTTTATATAAAGAGTGTTTTTAATTTTACTCCAGGAGTGGTTTTAGATTTAGGTTTAGATTTTAGGTTACACACTAATCAGGTGAGACTGGAACTGAACGAGAAGAGAAAGTAACACTCAATGGCAGATACGGCGACTGATGGGACTTTTCAGAAAAGGGCAAAAGCCTTCATTTGTATGAGGGAAGTTGCATCATCTTAAGTGGAAGCACAACGCCTTTTGTTGTCACTGCTGTTGCATGGAAGTTAAATCTGGATGAAAGGGTGTGAATGGATGCAATGGACTTCACCTGTCTGCTCTCAGCTCTCAGTTCAATTCTGTCTGCATTCTGTGTTCCATTCTGTGTTGAAGAAGTCTGGGACCGTGCGAATTACACTTTCCAGACTCCTTTGCCAACAGGCAATTCTGGTGTCATTTCCTGCAGGGTTACTGGAATAGCCTTGGTGGTGGTGATGGTGAGCCAGCAGGGTGAGACAGCTGGTGATGAAGCAGTGGCCTGGGCATGCAGGTCCACAGGTGCCCAGGCCCTGGGTGTGGGACATACAACCCACAGAGGAGGCTCAAAGAATTCTTCCCTCAGGAAACTGTGGTAGGCAGAATGATATCCCGAAACATCTATGTCCGAATCCTGAAACCTGTGAATATGTTATCTTTCATGTTAAAAAGGACTTTGAAGATGTGATTACATTGAGCATTTCAAGACGGAGAGATTATCCTGGCTTATCTGGGTGGTCTCAGTGTAATCACAAGAGTCCTTGTAAGAGAGAGGCTGAAGGCTCAGAGTCAGAGAGCAAAGATGTGAGGCTGGAAGTAGAGGTCAGAGAGAAGAGAGAAAGACAGGGATTTGAAGATGCTACACTACTGAGTTTGAAGATGGAGGCAGGGGCCATGAGCCAAGGAATGCAGGTGGCCCATGGAAGATAGAAAAGCCAGGAAGTGGGTTCTCCCTTACAGCCTCCAGAAGGAACCAGCCCCGTTGACACCTTGATTTTGGCCCTGTAAGACCCAGTTTCAGACTTCTGACCTCCAGAATTGCAAGAGAATAAATTTGTATTTTATATGCCCTAAGGGCTGTGAGACTGGAATAGGAGGCCACAGGGAGCCAGCTCAAGTGGTAAATCTGACAGGCAGCATTACTCATGCTCAGAAGTGCAGTCCCCTGTGACGACTTTATTGCTGAGTAAGACTTGTCTGCCAGCCTCTCCCATGGGGTGAGCTCTGTCTCAGGAGGCTTCTCCGACCTTCGTGCAAATAGGCCTGAGGAGGATACATTCCTCAAATTCAAAAGGCCCAGACACTTGCACCCCCAGAGTGAATTCACATGGGTCAGGACTCCAAGGTACCCTTTTATGGAGGACACAAGTCAACCCATAATGGGAACAGAGGCTCGGAGAGGTTAACTAACTTGCCCAAGCTCATACAGTGAGATAGTATTTCAGCAAAGATTTAAACCCCAGTCTGACCCTAAGAATCAAGCAGATCACGGACTCTGCTGCCTTCCATGTGCAGCCACCAGAGAGAGGAGAAAAAAAATTGTGGCTTATGTATTTTTGCCTTCCAAGCTGGGTTTCTTAATTCCTTGTGGTTTATGGGAAATGTTTTCCATATTTCTGGGAAAGAGAAAGGTTTTTCTGTTATCTACCACACTGTGTCCACCCGTTCCCTTCATCACATACACCTGACAGGCTTTTTCAGTGAAACCTGTATTACCGCAGTGCAAATCAATATTTGAGTAGCACTTACCAGAAGATTTGAAGGTGTTGAGTCATCTTGTCCTGGACAATGGAAAGGGGACTGTGGCATTATTCTGCTCATATTTTCAGTGACCCACTACAGCTGGGAGAGATGAAGTGATTGGGTAAGGTTATACAGTTTAGCAAGTGGTCGGCTGGCACCTGGCTGAAGTCTCCTCGCGTAGACTCTGGGCTTCGTCTGCTGTCCAGACCGCCCATCCCGGGGTGCCTTCTGTGTGCCACCCTGGCCATCCACCTTGTCTAGGGAGCACCAGCCTTCCCACAAGCAGGGCCAGTGGGCAGCTTGCAGACTCCATGGGAGTTTGTTCACCATCAGCCCCCTCCCATGGCGCTGAGGGGCACAAAGAGTTGGGAAGGTTGGTTCTGGTCTAAGGCCGTGATGCCAAGGATTAAAAACAACCAGCCACATCCATCAACATCCTTCACTGAAGGCCTAGTGGACTCACCTCCAGGAGGCATTGTGAAGAAGAAGAATGCACTTTTTGAAAGGGAAGGAGTGGCAAATGTGCTTCCATATTATTGGGGAGGATGGGCATTCACCTCCCGGGCAGGTGGCGCATTGTTTGGGGGAACCCATTGAGAGAACATTTTTAAGAAAGGGAGCTCCTTAGCCATGGGGCTCTTTAGACAAGAGGCAGCACATGGCCACCTACCTGCAAAACCCGTCTGCCCCCAACTCAGAGGGGGTGTACCTGTGTATGTGCCCTGTGTGAGTGTGCCCCTTGTTTGTTTGCTGAGTGCCATTGAAAAAATGAGAAATTTCATCTAAAAATCCCATTTCTCCTTAGAAAAATGAGCCTATCTGGTAATTCTGAGTCCACATCCCACTTGGCAACAATAGGCTGAAAAGTGATTGCCTCCCTCGGCCGGGGCATGTGCTCAATAGATGGGTGGCTACCCACAACCCCCTTCACACTCAGGCAACCATTAAATCTATCCCAGCCATTGGCTGCCTGGCCCTCGTGGGCATTTGGGGATGGGGGTGGTCGGATTGATGTACGTAAAGTGAAATCAATGCCCAACAGAACAAAAGCTCCAAGAGACTGTTAGGATCTTAGAAGCTAGGAGATGTGAGGAAGGATCTGGACAAGGCAGAAGGCTTCAAGGGAGGCTAAGCATTAGAGAGCTGGCCAGGGATATATTCCTGATGGCTGAGATGGCTGAAAATGTTGAATATTCACCTTGAGGCTGATTCCAGTCCACACGGTTATCATCTTCCTCATTGATTCAGAAATTGAGGATTAAATCTATTGTGCACAACAATCTTGTGCGATGGATCTTTCATGGGTCTAGAAACTGAAGAAGAAGCTGTTCCAAGCCAGGGGACCCAGAGAAGACAGCAGCTGGCAGTGGCACTCAGGAGCAGCAGGAGGAGAAGCTACAACATGGCTGACCCTGGAGCAAGCTTGAGACAACACCCTTTTCTACTAGCAGAGAGTAACCTTCAGAAGAGAGCTCCACAGAACTCTTAATCCTGATCTGGGAAATCTGCAACCAGCCCCGAGAAGTGCATTTATGTGGCTCCAGACACACACATCATTTCACGTTGTATTTTGGTGACCCACACATTGGCCTAACATCCCCTACCAGACGGTAAACTTCTTGAAGACCAGTGCAAAGTGACTTTTGCATCCTCCAAAATCAAGCATAATCCCTGATACTTACTAGGTGATAAATGGCTACAAAAAAATAAATTCTGCCGTAACTCTGATATGACCCAATAAATTAATCAAGGTCAATAGAAGGACATTTGCCACCCTTCTGGTATAAGTAACTTTGCTGAAGGAAGAAGACAAGAATTAGACCTCTTTGGATAAGAAATATAGTAATATATATATTGCAAAGTGCATACCCATTAACTCAGTAAACCCATTTGTCAGAATCTGTCCTAATTAAATAATCCAAAAGACATTTGCACAAAAATCTTCATTTAAATATTTCTTAAACTATCCAAACTTTGGAAGTATTCTACATGTCTAGAAATAAAGGAATTATTAAATAATTAATGGTATAGCTGCTCCATGGAATACTATAAAGCTATTAAAATGATACTTATCCATTCTGTGTAGCAAAATTTAAAATGTTAATGATATTAAGCATTTTTAAGTGTACACATGATTTCACATCAATCACATAGGGCTTTTCCAGGTGACAAAGAACAAAGTTAGACTCTTCATTGGCAAGGGATTTATTGTAAGGACACGTGGGGAAGGACGGAGACAGGGCGCAATGGCATATGCAGCAAAGTCCAGCACTGCAGAGAATAAAACACAGGGACCTGAAGGTTATTCAGGCTGTCGCCTCATCATGCAGTGGGCCCTCAGCACTGGGTGGCTGGGCTCCCTCCTGTGCGCTCTGCCATGTAGAGCACCAGCCCTTCTCTGCATTTGTTTCTAGAGCTCAGTTTGTTTTTCTCTCTACTCAAGCCTCTGCTTACTCATGGCTTCTATCACGTAATGTCTTCTGCTTACTGATTTCTGCTTGCCTCCAGCTTTCTGTGTGTCTCACATTTAAATTCCCCAGGAAGGAGATCTAATTGCCTTGGATCCCTGCTGTACCATTAGTCAGAGCTCTCAGGCCAGGCCACCTCCATAGCTCCAATGGGCAGCATCTATATAAGCCGTATTTCCATCAGGTGCCCAAATGTGATGCAATCAGCTCTGGTCCAAAAAGTGGTCACAGGATGAACGTGGCAGGTACTTCACGCACACCAGCTACCTATCCATTACAAGGATAGTTTTGAACTATGTTTAACACAATTAATGAAAAATACATGCACACATATGAAAACAGATGGGAAGGGGATAAATTAAAGCCATCATAGTCCAGTTAAGGTGGAGGGATTACAAGTGATTACTTTTCTCCATTTTGCAATCTTCATTTAATGACACTGTAATTGTTTTTTTTTTAGTTTTCAAGTATTTTGTAAAGAGTAGTCTCCCCCAGCACGATGAAGTGTATTCAGGAATTGATAAACAACAATGTACTCCTGAAATTACACAAAGGTATAAACCTTTATAATCCCAATAAAATTACTTAAAAAAAAAAGTAATCTCCCCCACGTAATAGGAGTCATGCAACCAAGCTACTAAGTTCAGTCTTTCCCATGTACTTGTTTTGGGAGGTAGAACAAAGTCACAGCCATTAAAGCTTGTGGTCACGCTTGCAGGCGGAGCATTATTTCTGCCTTACCTTGCCAGGTAAAGGTCAAGGCCATAATTATTGAAGGTTTTTAAAGCACCTTGAAGGCAAAAGTGTCTGTTATTATTCCTCTGAAACCTCCTTTAAACTGATATAATAGCATGTGCCACATGAGCAAAACACAGAACCTCATAACTAACTCGGCTGTGTCAAGTATTTGAAAACACCATCCTCTCGACTGACAAAAATCTCCAGGGCCCGAGAGAAGCTACCATGGCAGTTCTGTGAAATCAGCCACCCCTGGCTTCACTTTGATCTTCCTCTGTCTACAGCCTTGTTTCAGAACCTCTGTCACAGACATACAATTACTAAATATTATTACTGCTTGGTAATAACTATAATTACTACAAGGACTGCCAGAGATGGAAAGACAGGAGAAATCTAATTATCATACGGACTGGTGTCTGAGCTGGACAGTCTGTTTGTATCTCGTAAAGCCTGAAGCCCCTTCTCGTCCGTCCCCGGCATTAACTCCGGACGCGCAAACTGAGGACGGGAACTTCAAAGCTGGAGGCTTGATCCCCCGAGGGCAGGTCCCCAGTCTAGCAATTCGGGAACCGAGATGCAAAATCCTCCCGCGCTCCTAGAGAGGACCCGGAAGCGCCGCGCAGTCCCGGAAGGCGAGGTGCTGACACACTTCCGGCCTTTGTGACTCATTGTGTCTGTGTCGAGGCGTCGGGAGGGCCTAGGTCCGTGTGCAGCGCCCTTCGGCCGGCCTGAGCCCCAGAGTCGGCTCCCCTCTCTCGCCCAGCGTCCCCAGGCCGCTCCCGGGGCTCACGGTGAGACTTGGGGCCGGCCTCGGGGGAGGGCGGGCGGGGCCGCAGGGGTGTGTGCGTGAGGGTGGGCTCTGCAGCTGCGGCCCGGGTTGCCCTGCAGGCCGCCCGGGCGGAGTGTGACGAGAGTCCGTGACCCTGTCCCCTCCCCAGGCCCGGCTGTAGGAAGCTCCGTCCCCCGGGGGGACGTCCCCGCCCCACCCCGGGACCAGGCGGGGATGGGGCGAGGGCTTAGCGTCCAGGGGAGCTCGGAGACCTGGGGAGAAGGCGTCTACGGCCCCTTCGGGCCTCTCGCCCGCGGTGTCGTCATCGTCGTTTGACGTTTCAGAGAATCGCGAGCGAAGCGACCCCTGTCTGATTTTTCTGCTCCTCCTAAGTCGCCATTTGCTTTGATTCCAATGAGAGATTTTTTTTTCGGGGTCTTCCAGGACCTCGAGGTGAAAAATGCGGAAGGCCGAGCAGTGGACGCATTTTGAGGTGCCGCATACGTGTTTCGAGATCACCTGTGTCTTTTCACCCCACCCCCACTCGCGAGTGGTGATTCAGGAGTCTTTGAAGCCTAGTCAGAATGGAGAAAGAAGTGATTCAGATCTAGTAGCGATTATGTACATCCCACTCTCTCTCACTTTCAGCTAATGAGTATTTTGAAGGCTTTTTAAAAATGAGCTGTCCGGAAGATTAGGTAGATTTTTTAGTTCTCGGTGGTTGCTCTGCTTGACTTGGAGTGGGTGAACAGTGAAGGGCATTTGTGGAAATTGCACAGGCTGTTAGGAGCCTGATGAACCGAGTGACCTTGGATAAGACAAAACACTTGGCCAACTCTCAATTTTGTCATCAATAAAATTAACTAGATTTTCTCAAAAGTCCCTTCCAACTTGGAAATCATTTGATTTGGTCAGTGTAATTGAAAAACTCAGCTACCGTTTAGCCTGACACTGCTCCCCTCCCTTCCCTTTCCTGCAGTGCCTCCGGTACACAATAAGATACTTTCATTATAGAGAGTGGCTGTTACATGGCCTGGGACCAAAGAAAGCATTTATTGTACAGGCCAGTGCTAGGCGGATTGGAGGTGGTCAGTAAATACTTGTTGAATTGAATTGTGGAGAATTCATTGTAACCAGATCAACAAAGCACTGTTCCTATATATGCTAGCCAAATGTGGAGAAATAACTTTACTACATAGGGAACCATAATGATAATTTGCCCCAGAATGTTTCTCCAAGTTTGTATGCAGGATTCTTGTTCATTATTTCAGGCAGTTTTCACCAATCTTACAGTACAAACGGAAGCTAGCTACTTGGTACTATAGTCTTTTGCTGGTTCTCTACGTGATCTAAGCATTTAAATTTTTTCTAACTTTATATGGTATCTAAATACAAATGAATGTTACGGTTAAATCCTACCTTTTCATTCTGAGATAGTATCAATATTCTTTGGGAAGGTAGCTGTCTTTTAAAGGAAATGTTTTTATATTTTAAGACATTTTATAGCTCTGTTCAAAAATGGCAGGGGGGCGGTTTGTTTAAACTTCTAAGACTACGCCCTGGAAAAGATACTGACCTGTTTAGAAAAATAGCCTTTGGAATAAACTGAGCTTGTAACTCCAAGCCCTTTTTGTAAGAAAATCGTTTGTATTCTTGGTGAGAACCACATGCGGGGGATAATCTTATCTATATTGGATAGTGTGTCAGAATGGTTGTCAGCTTAAAGGGACCCCGGAGGTAGTTTTCCACTCCTCCCCCGCTTACACACACTTGACAGGTAAGGATACTGAGTGTCCAAGAGGTTAAATAACTCACTCGGGGATGTGTAACTCATTTGTGGGAGACTGGAATTCAGCTGTTCCAACCTGTGCTGCTATTATAGGATTTCTTCCATTGCTTAATCTCAGCAGGCTGAAAATTGCAAAATACAGTTACATTTTGTAAATTTATCAACAAAAATTAAAATACTTTTCTAGTGCCTGCTAAATGCCAGACACTGTTTTAAGTGCCTTATATATGTTAACTCATTTAATCCTCACAGCAACTCTGAGGTAAATACTGTTTTTCATCCCCGTTGTGCAGATAAAGAAATGTGCATAGAGAGATGAACCGGCCCCAAATCATCACCTGATGAGTGGTGAGCTGCTAAGTGGTAGCCTGTGGGGCTAATTTGAGGGTAACATTGTATGAATAGGCACAAAATAGTGACATTGTAAATTCAGTCAAGTATTTTCTAAAAACTGATGCTTGCAAGGAAGCATACTGAGTGGTCTAAGAGGCACAAAGACGCATACCCTTAACAATAGTTCGGTTGAGAAAGAAGGCATGAAAAATTAAATTACAGGGGAAGAAACATCCTAAGAACTTCCATATCAAATGCTAGGTGGAGACTATTAGGGCCAGGAGTTTAAAGAAAGGAGAAAAGATTGTGTGCTCAGATCCTCTGGGAGACCTAAAATAAAACCCAGCCCTTCCACTGCTGTTGTGACCTTTCTCTTGTCCAGAGTAGGAGCAGAGAAATGTTGGGAGATGGGGGAGAGGACCTGTCGCAATTGAGGGAAGAGGGCATATGCCCATGCCCTCGTCTCTGTCCCTTTAGGTCTCACTTCCTCCTCAGAGTCTTCCTATTGAGTCCCACTGATCCAGGAGTATTCTGCTCTTTAAAACTCTGGCCTAAGTGTGGGCACAAATGAAGATTCCTTTTATTCTCCTTACTATAGCTGAGACAGGATAGAATTTTCATAAAAATAGAGATTTCTAGTGCTAGGCTAGTTACTGCAGTAGTTCAGTTATCCTGTTTCAAGGTCCCACCTGGTTAGACTTTAGATGATTCCCACTTGCTTCTCCTCCTGTATCTCCTGAGTCACATAGCTCTCCAGTGAAAACAGTGGGTGGCAGGTGAAGCCCATTCCTGAGTGATCATCCTTCATGGGTCTTCCTCTCAGAAGGACTCTGTATGTACACAGAAGCCCTTCCTTACCCCACATGTTGGGACAGAGTGAGTTTGGTATGATGGTTAGAGCTTGAAGTGAGGAGTCCCACAGACCTAATTTCAAATCCTGGCTCTGCCATTTAATTGCTGTGTGACCTTGGGTATGTTATTTAATGTCAGTAAACCTTAGGTTTGTCATTATAAAGTGAGATGATAGCTGTGTGAAATGCTTCATATGATACCTGGTACAGAGAAAGCCCTCAATAAACGTTGGCTCTTACTATTCTGCCTCCAGGAGGCTTGAATTGAACAGTGATGAGAGGCAAGTGGCATTTTAGCTTAGGTCTGACAGAGAAGTAGGATTTGAAAAGGCAGAGAGACTGGGAAGGAAATCCCAGGCACTGAGTGTGATGTGAGGAAAGGATAGCAATCAAAATACAGGGGCAATATGGGAAATACTGAGTAGACTCATCTTGCTGGATGGAGAAGGTTCCTGCGGGGGAGGGAGAGACATTGATGGGAACTGAAGCTGGAGGGGAAACTGGGACCAGGTACTGGGGTGTGTTGACGCAAGGCTATAGAGTTTTAGGAAGAAGAATCTGAGAATAAGGTAGGAGATGAATTGTGGGGAGGAAGAAAATGAAGGCAGGGAACCAAAGGGAGGAATCTGGACTTCATACAGCTAGGTAGAAAAATATATATGAACGAAGAATTCCTTCTACCTGGTGCTTGGACACTGAATGCATGTAAGGAGAGGGGGCAAGGAACGTGAGAATCTGAGCCTGTGCGATTGAGATATTAGTAGAACGTCTGATCACTAATTGCCACAAAAGGCAGATGGCAGGGGGGGCTGTGGTAGTTTGAGTGGTTCTTATTTCTTTTATTCAGTTTAACAGAATTAAACTCTGCCAGGTTCTCTAGGAGATGATTACAAAGAAGACAAGAGTCCCTGTCATTGAGGGGCTTAAAATTTAGTTGGGAGTGGAGATAGGAACTGTCACCCAAATAGTGATAATACAAGGAGGATGTAAGTGCCATAAGATAGAACAAAGAAAGTACTAAGGGTGTTCAAAGGAGGAAGATACCTTATTTAATTCAGAATGTCAGGAGACATTACACATCTTGAAGGGTGAGTGAAAATTTGACCCATAGTGTTGATAGGGTGGGAGATGGTTCACAGCAGAGTGAGGATGAAAAATCACACTGCATGCTTGGGGATCATTAATAGGCCAGACAGGCTGAAATATAGGGGCTTGCTACTAAGAAAAGTAGTGTAGTGTGTTGTCTGAACACTGAATTGGTAGATATTGAGGATTCGTTGACAGTAATTGAGAAGAAGGAGGGAATAGCCAGAAGCATACTTTGGCAATACTCTGTTGACCTTGGTGTATTGTTGGTATTGGAACAGGGAGAAATTGAATCTAGAGAAACGATACGGGACTATGGCACTAGTCTAGGCAGGAGATATGGAGCCTGACTTCGGGTGGTGGAAAATAATTGTGGGAAGCATAGCAGAAGATCATCTTTCTTTTGACTTCTCAAAATGAAATGAAAGAAACTAAGGTTTATAGGAACTATTTAGCAGCCAGTGGGGAGAAACTAGGCAAACTTGCTGCCTCTTCCTATAGAGGTTCTGGCTATTCTGTGCCCCAGCTCCCGGGGGCCTCTTCCTAGAAGCTGTCTTATTAAGGCTGTCAGTTACTTCTCAGGGCTCCTCTTGCACTGCTACTGAAACCTCCTTAGAACAGTTGGCACCTTCTTCTCTGTACTGTAATTATTTATATAAAAATAGGAATCGTGCTTCTCATCTTTTTATTCCCCTCAGTCTAGCAGGCACCTTGCATATTGTAGATCTGCAGAAGTGTTTAGGAAGTTGAATAATTGTAGCTGTAAGCAGGTAAAGCTGCTCTGAAATTGAAAAAATATATTAAGGCTGCAGCAAGGAGGGTGGGGTGCAAAACAGCTCTGAGGGAATCCATCGATGGGAATGGCTAGAAGATGGTTTGCAATAGGACTTTTGCTAGTTTAAAATTATTAGAGAAATTACTTGATTCCCACATCTTCTTACATTTATGTAGAAAGCCTTTTTGAATGTAATGTTCTTTGTTATTATTATAGACTGCTATTGTAATAAGAATTTCTGTTTTTCATTAGGGACAAAGGAGAAAGAAAAACTAATCCTGTGATAAATCTCAAATTACAGTCATATTTTCTGTAATTAACATAGTCATCTCCAAACTTTTTTGGTCACATTCTTATCAGTAAAAACTATTTATAAAAATTACAAACATATGCTGTTATACCAATGATGAATAAATGAAAAGCAATTAAAAACAGTTAATGTATTGAGGCATATGAGGAAACCAGTTGGTTTAAAACTAATCCGGCCTGACCTTGCTTTTGAGAATGACCTGACGTGCCTATCCAGCGTGCCTTGTACATCTGCTTTAAACATTTACAATATCCCAAAGCAAAGAAAAATGCCCTTAAAGATAGGGATGTATGCCTCACCCCAGATCAGCATTTCTTTAGAGATAAGCATTTCTTCCCAGAAACTAAGGGTCAAACTGACCTGTTGTGTGCATCTCATGACCACTGACCTGTTGCGCTAGCAAGACATCTTATGATTATAGTAAAAAAGAGAGATTCCTGTTATACTTGGTGTGTGTTCCTTGTTCCAAGATGGCGTGTAACTTCTCTGTAGACGCCGCTTCTTCCTCGGAGCACTTCTTCCCCTGGTGGAGGTTACTTCTCTCAGGCTGTATGGTCCTCAGGCTGGCTCATACAATAAACTCACCCAATTTTGATTTATGCATTGATTATTGATTATTTGCGTTGACACCAACATTTTGTATAATAAAACAGTACATTAAATCGTGCTCTTTAAAAATAATTTTTGTGCTTTAAATGTACATGATTCCTTTCCCACCAAAATTGTTAATAACTTTTTAGTGAGAGCCATGTAATTAAAAATGCTTTGCTGATCTAAAACTCTTGGCTTAACTCATTGTGATACTATCTTGTATTTGGTGCTTAATTTTGATGGCTGCACAGGTGAAAAAAATATTTCCCAAAGATTTGTCACTTCACATGGAAGAAACGCATTGTCGACTGCTTAGTAACTCGTGCTTGGTGCTGTCCACCAAGCACGCTAACTTTTTGTTGCTGTTGAAATTCAGCTAGTACAGTTCCATTTTCCATGCCCTTAAATCATCTGTTCTTACAAACTAATCTAAAGGTGTTTTATATTTTTAACAAACAGGCCTAAGACCCACTAAAACTCTTGATTTGGAACATTTTTAAACAGATGAGGAAGTTTTTCCAAGTTTTTTTTTAAAGATTGGCCCAGAGCTAACATCTGTTGCCAATCTTTTTATTTTTCCTTCTGTCTCCCCAAAGCCCCCAAGTACATAGTTCTATCTCCTAGTTGTAGGTCCTTGTAGTTCTTCCGTGTGGGACACCACCTCAGCATGGCTTGATGAGTGGTGCTAGGTCTGTGCCCCGGATCTGAACCTGCGAAACCCTGGGCCTCCGAAGCAGAGCGCATAGACCTAACCACTTGGCCACGGGACTGGCCCCTCCAAGTTTTTAAAATGTGTAATAAGGATTTTTCCAGGATACTTAGTATGATTTTTGGCAGTTAAAACTACTTAACAGTGGAAACATCTCCCAGCATACACCTGTTCTCATAATAGTTCTTCACACTCTGTTTTGTTTTCTTAAGGAGCTGCCTTCTTATTTGTTGACTTCTTGTTTGATTTAGAGCCACATTGGTTTTCACCCTCTAATCTGGCAGAGTAGAACCTTACTCTAGATAGAAGCTTCAGCTGTACCATTTTCTTGTTCACGTGTGTTTGCATCATTGGTGTTTCTTCTAATTGTAGTTTCTCTGGAAGAATCTTTAAAGCTGCTTGTCTCTCTTTTTTTCTGAGATATAATTGACAGAACATTATATTAGTTTCAGGTATACAACATAGTGATTTGATGGTTGTATATATTGCGAAATGATCACCACACTAAGTCAATATCCATCACCATAGTTACAAATTTTTTTTCTTGTGATGAGAACTTCTAGAATCTTTTCTCTTAGCAACTTTCAAATATCCAATACAGTATTAGTAACTATAGTAACCATGCTGTGCATTACATCCCCACAACTTATTTATCTTATAACTGGAAGTTTGTGTCATTTGTCCCCCTTCACCCATTCCACCCACCCCCCATGCTTGTCTCTTTTAGGAAGGCCATTAGTTAAGGCTGGATAAAAATAATCCATTATTTCCGTTAAGTGTTCTCAGGTAAATTGGGAAACACCACAGTACCTAAAAGTGAACGAGTGAATGAGGGCATCTCTGTACGGGAGGGAGGGGCCTCCCACTCTTCCTTTGGGATGTATCATACACCCTGTGTGACATGGGGCAGTTCAACATGTAGACCAAGTGAGGTTGTTCGTGTCAATTTGTACATAAAATATGCTTAATTTCTCTAATGCTTACAATATAAATAGGCATTCTGACGTTTTCTTTCTGTACCCAAGGTAGATCATCTTGTGCTTTGAAGACCACAGCTTTAGACTGACTAAGGCACCTATAGAAATAATAGAAATAGGGGCTGTCCCCGTGGCCGAGTGGTTAAGTTCGCGCGCTCTGCTGCAGGCGGCCCAGCGTTTCGTTGGTTCAAATCCTGGGCGCGGACATGGCACTGCTCATCAGACCACGCTGAGGCAGCGTCCCACATGCCACAACTAGAAGGACCCACAATGAAGAATATACAACTATGTACCGGGGGGCTTTGGGGAGAAAAGGGAAAAAATAAAATCTTTAAAAAAAAGAAGAAATAATAGAAGTAGCCAGGTGGTAGATTGGCAAGGGCAGGACTTCAAATTTGGCTTGAATGTTGACTCCACCGGGTAGGTAACCACCTGCTAGCGAGCAAATGAAGTTATCTAAGCTTCAGTCACGTCATCTGTAAAGTGGTACTAGCACTTGTGCCCACCTGCTGGGGTTATTGTGGCAGGATATGCCATTTTGCGTGCCCTGTGTGGAGCCTGGTGCCTGGCACCCTGCTGACCTTCAGCTCTCCTGGGCTAAGCAGTTTAAACACCTGATGTCACAACCTGCTGTCCTCCTGGAGGTAAGGTGCTCAGACTCGACAAACACCCTGAGGGTGGAATTCGCCTGTTGGAGGTTTCTGTTTGCAAGCCTTAATATACAGAGTGACAGTGAAAAACAAAGTGACAGTGAAAACAGTGCAGCCCTGAGGCTTTTTTTCCCCCTTTACTGTTCAGAGGCATTCTTAGCGCCTTGATGTGAAGCCTTGTATGAAGGGTTAGCAGCACAGTTCACTTTTCATAAAGGTGCTAATAACTTTTTTCAATACCTCAGGAATAGTGCAGAAACAAGTACCAGAAACATCTCCTAGGACAGAAAGGAGAGCACAGACCCTATTTGGATCAAGTCGGTTCCCCGAGCCTGAACGATGACTGCTGAATCAAGGGAAGCCACGGGTCTCTCCCCCCAGGCTGCCCAGGAGAAGGATGGCATTGTCATAGTGAAGGTGGAAGAGGAAGATGAGGAGGACCACATGTGGGGGCAGGATTCCAGCCTGCAGGACACCCCTCCTCCTGACCCGGAGATATTCCGCCAACGTTTCAGGCACTTCTGTTACCAGAACACTTTTGGGCCTCGAGAGGCTCTGAGTCGACTGAAAGAACTTTGTCATCAGTGGCTACGACCAGAGATAAACACCAAGGAGCAGATTCTGGAGCTGCTCGTGCTGGAGCAGTTCCTTTCCATTCTGCCCAAGGAGCTCCAGGTCTGGCTGCAGGAGTACCGTCCCGATAGTGGGGAGGAGGCTGTGACCCTTCTGGAAGATTTGGAGCTTGATTTATCAGGACAGCAGGTAAGAAGGAGTGGAACCTATTGTATGTGAGCAGCACGTGGACTTTGAGACTGGAACAAAGAGAAAGTTACTCATTTAAATCTAGTGTGAGTAGTCTTTGTGGTGGTTATTCTCTCAGCTCGGTTTGGATATTAAAAAGTATTCTGGCCTTCTCCCCACTGCATCCACTGGTATACGTAATGGTTTTTCCATTTGTTTAAATTCCTGTTAAAATACGATTTACCCGTGAGCCCAACCTGTTTGTCCCTCAGGTCCCAGGTCAAGTTCATGGACCTGAGATGCTCGCAAGGGGGATGGTGCCTCTGGATCCAGTACAGGAGTCCTCGAGCTTTGACCTTCATCCTGAAGCTGCCCAGTCCCATTTCAAGCATTCATCTCGGAAACCCCGCCTCTTACAGTCACGAGGTAAGAAGCAAATCTTCATGTGGGAGAAAGAGGCAGACTGTTTCGGGTGGGTGTGCCCTCTCTGTGTTGCTAAGTGCCTGTAATAAAGAAGCATGCTGTTTTTATCATTATACATGGTTGTCATCATTATTAAACATGAAGAGAAATATAACTTACAGACGAATCTCAGGAGTCAAATGTTACTAACGAGTTACATGAAATGTGCATAGTGAACTTGAGTGGACATTACATTATTTACTGAATTGTCAGCATTCTGGATGTCTAGCAGATTTTTTTTTATAGGAAAGTGCTGGGAAGAGATGATATATTTTCAGCCTGGGTTTTGAAACACCCTAGTATGTCATAAATTATGTTAAAAAAGGATCATCTTTAAAATTCACTTTATTAGGGCCGGCCTGGTGGCTCAGCAGTTAAATGCACACGTTCCCCTTCGGCAGCCCGGGGTTCACCGGTTCAGATCCCAGGTGCGGACATGGCACCGCTTGGCAAGTGGTAGATGTCCCACATAGAAAGTAGAGGAAGGTGGGCATGGATGTTAACTCAGGGCCAGTCTTCCTCAGCTAAAAGAGGAGGATTGGCAGCAGATGTTAGCTCAGGGCTAATCTTCCTCAAAAAAAAAAAAATTTTTCCTTCCAAAAGAAAAATTTATTTTATTTAAAATGTATAAAAATATTCTGTAACTTCGCTCTTCTAGGTTTCTTTTAGAAATTTCAAACAATGGAAAAATATTTTGTTTTTGGGTGAGGAACATGATGGGGAAGAAAATCACTTCAGGGTCATATAAATAAAACTCAGTTTTAATTTTTTTTCCTTTGAGGGACTTTTAACAATATCTTTATCCAGTTTTAAAATCAAAGTAGGTGCATAGGATATCAGTATAAACAATAACATGCTAAAATTATAGTTGTCCAAGAAGAGTTGATAAAGGCACATTCCTTAGCCAGTGTGTCTATTTGTGATGACATTTGGGGTAGGAATATTAGCACTTAAGGAAGCATTCTTGTCTGTATATCCTGGAGGATAGCCAGCATTCACGTGCTGGAGAAATCCACATATACCAATGCACTGTGATGTCATCCACCACTGTCCACCCAACCCCTTCCAGGGATTGCAGGGTCTCTCTACACTCCACAGGGGAAAATCAGGAAATTGAGGAGGATATTCATGGTTTTAAGTGCCAGATTAGAGCTTCAGGTTGCCAGAATTAGTTTCAGAGACCCTGGTACATACACTTATTACTTAGTACAGAGTTCCTCAACGAATTGAGGCATACACACTCATTCTTAATTTCTTCTTTGTGCGCTTCGTCTTCCGGAGTGCTCCTAACTGTCAGAAAGTTGAAGTGCTGGGTACTCGATCTTTTTGTACATTTTACTTAGCTTGTCTTATTATTGTAAGTTCTGAAATAGGTGCAAGGTTTAGTAATTCAGTTTCAAATTCATTTCCCTAATATCTTTGCGGCTCAGTAACATTACCTGTTTAGCAGTAACATTTCCAAATCTATTATTACTTGGCAAGGGAGGATTTCAATTTCGCACTTGAAAATTGTTCTGCTTGCTCTTACACACTGCAATTAGTGTGATCATTCGCTATGTTATAGATGTCTGGTTAGATGAGTGTCAACCCAGGCCTTTGTACTCTTGTAAATGTCTTGTCAACATTTGAACCGTGTATACATTTTATCAAAAAACTCTTTGGTTCAGTGAGAGAGAAAAGTAGAGGGATGGAAATGGAAAAACTTACCCAGAAGTAAGATGATCCCCTTCTTACCCTGTTTTTCAAGATCCTACAGCTAAAGATTTTTAAAGCCGTGGTGTGTTTTTCACAACTAAATGGGATTCTCGTGTCCTGGTACTGTTCCTTAGACTGGAGAAAATTAAATTATGACCCAGACTTGAATCATGGGCTAAATGTTACCCACTTCTGTAGCTGAGAATAGGAACCTGGGTTCTGGTTCTGGTTCTGGTTCTGCCATTCTTAACTGTGTGACATTAGACGAGTCATTTACCCTCTCAGGACTTCAGTTTCCTCAGGGCTTCAGTTTCCCCTTTAAAATAAAGGGGTTGGACCAGGTGATTTTAAGGACCCTTATATGATTCCTTGTGACTCTTGCTTAAGACTAGAAGTCTTGGAAACGTAGAGGTCACGGTTTTTCTTCATGTTCTCTGTGGTTATCTATTCTGTAGTTGAACGTTGAATATCAAGCATGCTGGTGCAGGAAAGAGAGTGCCCCTGGGCCCTTCTTCGAGGGGAGGCCCAGAGCAGAGCTGGTTTTACTCACAGCTCCTTTCTCCTCCCTCAGCTCTCCCTGCCACCCACGTTCCTGCCCCTCATAATGAGGGGAGTCCCCGAGACCAGGCGATGGCATCTGCACTATTCACGGCAGATTCCCAGGTGAGCTGTGGGCCCCTCTGCCCTCCTGAGTCCCTCGTATCTGCCTCTCTTCTGGAGCTCTTTTAGCAGTCTCCACTCAGGACACTCACTCTTGATGCCCCTGCCCACAGAGCAGCCTCACTCCCCCCTCCATGCACCAGAGCCTGGCATGGTCACCTTTTCTTTCCCAGCATCCTGTAGGTTTGTAGTCAACTCTGTCCATGACTCCAGGTTTGGGCAGTGGGATTGTCCCTGAGCTTCGGGAGAACTGAGTGTGGGGATCTCATTATTTCAGGCAATGGTGAAGATCGAGGACATGGCCGTGTCCCTCATCCTGGAGGAATGGGGATGTCAGAACCTGGCTCGGAGGAATCTCAATAGGGACAACAGGCAGGAGAATTATGGGAACGTGTTTTCCCAGGGTAAGACTGATGCAGGATTATTGTCTGATAAGATTGTTTTGCCTGTTTTCTTGTTAGTTGTGGGATCTCTGATGTGTTCAGTTGAGTGTTAACCAGGATTTAGAGACCACTGAGCCCCTTTCTTCAGACCAGATAGAGAATCAGAACATTTGTGTTCATTTAACCCCAAAAGCCTGGTGCTTTGACTCCCTGATTCCAGGTGGATTTTTTCCCTCTAGGTAGTTTTTGCTATTTGAAGTCAGAAATACTCTTGCGTTCTTGTCCTTACCTCTTCAGCCACTCCGTTACCTGGGAGGATTCTTCTCCACTCCTCAGGGGTTAGTTTAGGCGCCTCTGTCGGGGCATCTGACAGTATCTGTATTTCCTGGTATAAAGGGCCAGGTGAGAACTGATCATCTCTCTAACCGTAATCCGGGACCATGCTCCTGAACCTACCAACATCCTTCCATGGACTCTGTGTCTTCTTCCATCCAGTGAGCACTGCTCCGCGACAGCTTTATATAATTCCGTGAACCTGCACCCACGCCTCCCTCATGATCGGGATTCCCAGTGTCAAAACTAATGGGGATCTTTGAAGAGCTGTGGCTCCTGGGTGTGTAATAAGAATGAAGAAGGTCTATGAGGCACCACAATTGACAGACGTTCCCATTTGTCTCTGCTAGATCTCAGCCCCTGGGAGATAGACCGCAAAGCAGCTCTCAAAGGAGTCCTACCACGGGGAAGTCCACAGTGAGACTTCTGCCTGGGGAGGGCAGAGGGAGGGTGGATGAAGGGAAACCTTGAAGAAAGACAGGGTGTTAGCAAAGAAACGTCAGGTTTCGTTTTGAGCCATAGGAGTAACTGGGGTTTATGGTTTCTTGGTAACTGCCCTTTGGACTAGATGAAAGTTAAGCCAAAGAACTGATCTGTATTTATGAGCTGGGTATTGCTTACTCTGCAATAGCTTTTAAAAAAAGACATTGGGAATAGTCTGGGAATTATCTAGACCGTCAGGAGCTTGGCTTGGAATTCAAAAGAAGTGGACCGATTTCCTCTTCCTTAAAATTGGTTCAGTATTTATGGTAATTTCATCACTCAAGTCACGGGCGGGCCTGGTGGCGCAGTGGTCAAGTGCTCACATTCCACTTCGGCAGCCCGGGTTTCGCCTGTTCAGATCCTGGGTGCAGACATGGCACCGCTTGATAAGCCATGCTGTAGTAGGCATCCCACATATAAAGTAGAGGAAGATGGTCATGGATGTTAGCTCAGGGCCAGTCTTCCTCGGCAAAAAGAGGAGGATTAGCAGCAGATGTTAGCTCAAGGCTGATCTTCCTCAAAAAAAAATTTAAAAAAAAAGCCGGTGCATCACTCAAGTCAGGAGTTAGATAGTATTTAGCTCCCTCAGTAGCTGCATTCAGGGGCCTCTTGGGATGGTACAGACCTACCTGGAGAGGTTTCTGAAGGCCAAGTAAAAAAAAAAGTAGAATTAGGATATTTTTGTTTTATTCCTAGACAAATGTAAACACATGTAAAATATTGTGTGTTTATTGAAGAATTTTCAGTCTCTACTTAGAAAACAAAGTGACACACAGAATGTAGCAGGCTACAGCAAAAATATATTCCAGCATTTAATATGTGATTGCTGAAATGAGAGGATCAGCTCTGCATTTGTAAAATTTTGTTTTCTTCTGTTATCTCCATGCCTGTCTCCAGCATTGTTTTCGGTTTCTTTTCTGTTAGCAATTATTCTCAGTTGTCTGTCAGTGAAGGATTTAATTATGTTTACTAATGCCCCACCCAGCTTCTTCGCCCTCGTCTCTCCTGGTTGAGCACTGGCAGCTCTCTGCTGTCCCCCATGGTGAAGAGAAATTATTTCCTTTGTCTGAAGGTCCTTATAACTGCTAAGTTCGGAGCTCCTTGTTTTTCCCATTAACCATGACCTTATTGATAAAAGTTTCACATAATTGGAGGAGTATTCACTTTTCCTTTATTAACTGTGTTCCTTTCTTTCTGCTAATACCACTTAATATTTTCTGGGAAAGATCTATCCATTGTTTTTGTTTTTAACTCATAAATGCTTGCATTAGAAATGAAATACGATTTTTTAAATGTATATTCCTTCAAATTAGCTATCAGGTACCCAACAGTAGAACTGTGAATTATGACCTCTCATGTTAATTCTGCCTCCCTTCCTTCCTTTACTGGTTCTGACCCCTCTGCTCATTCCCCAGCATGGCTGTTCATTCCCGTCCCCTCTGCACACTCCCTTTGTTGTCCTCTCCACTCTTTGCGTGCCCTCTCACTTCCCAGCTCTACTCCCTGCTGTCCCTATTTTTTTTCCTTATTTTTCTCCTACTTTATCTCTGATTAATATTATGAGGTCATTTTGCAGGCATGTAGAAGCTTTCTGAAAAACACTGTCAGCTGATTATATTGAAAAGAAAAAGATGCTATTTGTATTTTCTATTTATTGTGTCAGGTTGTGAAAACAGGAATGAGAATGAGGAGTCAACCTCAAAGGCTGAAATTGCAGAAGACTCAGCATCACGTGGGGAGACAACAGGAAGATTCCAGAAAGATTTTGGAGAAAAACGTGAACAGCAGGGCAGAATAGCAGAAAGGCAGCTAAGAAACCCTGAGGAGAAAACTGGAAAAGAAAAGAAAGATTCAGGGCCAGCTACAGTCAAGGAAAAAAAACCCACCACGGGAGAGAGAGGTCCAAGGGAGAAGGGTAAAGGATTGGGAAGAAGCTTCAGTTTGAGCTCAAACTTTAACACCCCTGAGGAAGTTCCGACAGGAGCCAAGTCTCATAGGTGTGATGAATGTGGTAAATGCTTCACAAGGAGTTCAAGCCTTATTCGCCATAAAATAATCCACACTGGAGAAAAGCCCTATGAATGTAGTGAGTGTGGGAAAGCCTTCAGTCTTAACTCAAACCTTGTCCTCCATCAGAGAATCCACACAGGAGAGAAACCTCATGAATGTAACGAGTGTGGCAAAGCCTTCAGTCATAGTTCAAATCTCATTCTACATCAGCGAATCCACTCCGGAGAGAAACCTTACGAATGTAATGAGTGTGGGAAGGCCTTCAGCCAGAGCTCAGACCTCACTAAACATCAGAGGATCCACACAGGGGAAAAGCCCTATGAATGTAGCGAGTGTGGAAAAGCTTTCAACCGAAACTCATACCTTATTCTGCACCGGAGGATTCACACCCGAGAAAAGCCCTATAAGTGCACTAAGTGCGGCAAGGCCTTCACCCGGAGCTCGACGCTCACTCTGCACCACAGAATCCACACCAGAGAGCGCGCCTCCGAGTACAGCCCGGCCTCCCTCGATGCATTTGGAGCGTTCCTGAAAAGCTGTGTGTAAAGCAAGAGTTTGTCAACAAGCCATTTCCCCCTTTCGTTTCTAAAATTATCTCAGAGATGTGTGCCCGTGGAGGGGAAAGAAACAGATTCAACAGATTTAAAAAAATCACACTAAGGATCCTTGTAGTTACATCAGCAGTGTTTTGCCTTCGCAGTCTGTGGGCATCTAGTTCTTCCACACAGCCCCTGCAGGGGAAAGCTAGTCCTGGATAATCGACATGCTATTTCCACACGAGATGAAAGCACACACACTAAAATGTCAAGCTTTTCAGTAATGAGGATACCTCTAAGGCGCTATTGGACTCTCAGCAACCATAATATATGATTGAAAGATTAAGATTGGCTCTGAAAATGATACCAAGGTTAAAAAGCTGCTTGCTGCAAACAAGCCCTGCCTGGCCGCCATCTGGCTGTACCTTATTTCTCAAAAAAGAGGAACAGTTAAAAAACAAAAACTCCATTGGGACATGCTGCTCAAACTAGTTATATATACAGTAAGTTATATATATGATCACTGGTAGCCTACCAAAGCTATGGAAATCGAGGACTGTGCTGATGAGTATTAAACCAAAGATTTCTGTCTCTTCCTGAAAGAGAGAGTACGTGCACCAGTCTACAGTTCCAAAGGACTGCAACACATGTAGATGGTTCTATCCTCATCACTGAGAGAAATTCTACTGAAATGGCAACAATGATTCAAAACACTTCTCTCCCTTCTAGAAATCCCTAAAGCACTATCGCACTCCTAAATGCATTTCTCCACAAGTTAGCACTTGATTGTACACTCTCTTCTAATCCTTCATGGTTTTGTGTCTGAAAGTTTTCATCACCCCCCAAAAGAGATGCTTCCATTGTCAAGGGATGTGTTTATATCCCCCACAGCACTGGACACAGTGCTGAACGCAGAAGAGACACTCATTCTGCCTGACTTCCAACAGGACTTTTGCATTTATGATAAAGCCCTGTGAGTCATGAGTACCTGAAGTGTAGTAGCCTGACCCAGCTTTTGAAGAGGACCTTCAGAGCCTGAGGCATGCTAACCCTCAAGGGTCTGATGCTATTTTTGTCCTAAATATAAAAGAGAGGTGCTGGTTGGCTGCGTGCATAGACTTTCTAAACATGGATCGGTGAGTGAGTACCATGGAATGTCAGAAATGACTCTGTTGTCGTCATCTTAAAGAAGAAAACTATGAACACTTACTAAGGCCATTTCTTGACATCTTTCTACGGTAAAGATCTTAGCCAGAGTTCTCTTCAGTCAGCAGCTGAACAACCTGATGATTTGGGCACTTTCTGAATCATTTGTAACTTTACATAATATAGTTCAGAAGATGTGATTTTTGTTGCTTTTTCAGAAAAAGGAAAGTTGCAGGGAGCATTTTTTCCCCACACTTTCCAGAAACTTTGCAAAAGCATTTGACATCGTTAGCTGGCAGTTACTAAACACGTTGTTGCTCTGTGAAGTTCACCAACACGCTAGGATGTGGTTAACTGTATCGTAGTCATACTGCAAGGGTCTTTTCTGCTTCTCATCACTAAAGACTGAGGTGAGGTTATGAAACTTTGAGCTTTTCCATCATCTGCGCAGGAGGATGCAATTGGCTGCCTCAAAACTAGTGACAGAGACTGGTTTGGGATACACATACAGGAGACCCAAGTATCATGCGCTCCACGGGTACTCATTAGGGACTTGGGTAGAGATGACTGCTCATGAGAGCACGCAAATGATTGTGGACAGCTCTGTAGAAACTTAGAAACATAGGCTAAGACCAAACCTGAAGACTCCCCATAATGGGAGAACCCCACATAGAGTTTGAGGTCTCCCATCGAGAAACAGAACTGAAACTAGAATTCAGCAGTTGTTCACTAAACAGGAACCAGCTCCTCATGGGAGACAGCATGGCTTTATGGGGAGCCAGCGGGATCGGAGCAGCTGTGGCCTCAGCTCCAGACTAAACTACAGTTCTGCACAGCAGTAATTCTTTTTTTTGGCTTGGCTTTACTACTTGGACCAACCACAACTTCCCTGTAGCTTCGAAGCAGTTTCATCATGTTGCGTGGGGAAACTTCAAGGAAGTCAGCTGCTGACCAGAATGTTCCTATCCATCCAGTTTAAGAAAAACAGACGAGATACTCCCAAAGAGTTTATGTAAGTAACTCTTTACAGTAAAGTGAAGGTAGAAAAAAATGCTTTCAGGATTTTCTTCAAAGAGCGAGCCGCAGCGATGATTGCATAGAACAACCGCTGGTGCTTTTGAGCTACGACTTTGGCTGCTGGGAAGCAACTGAAGGCAGTGAGGTACTTACCTCCAGGCACTGATCAAAGCACTGACTGTTCTTAAGAGGGAAAGAACTTTGCTCGGTTCCAGGTGGGCCTTTTTCAACCGCAACTACATGCTGGCGTAAGTCAGCCATCATTTTTGTTTTTTTTTTAAGTGGAAGTTAAATATAACCTGAGCCCCCACATTTAATTCCCGTTTTACTGGGACAGTGTGCTGACTATGTGTGGTTGCCCCTGGGGTTGCTTCAGATCTTCAGCCTTGAAGCAGCTGTTTGAAGATATGTTTTCTGAAGAAAACGGGTTACAGCTGTTTATTAAAGCTTATTTGCATTGCATTCCTTTACCTGCTGCTCAGTGCAGAGTGTAATTGGGTCATGGTCAAACAGGCTTACATCATCTAATTAGTGCTCAGGATAGTCACTCGAAAGTTCTTGACTGGCTGAAGTCTGTCAACAGTTTAAGTACTCTACAGTTAACCATTAGCATGCTAGTTGACCTAATGGAAGTTTTTGAAGGGTTTTTAAAAATATACCTTAACCTTGCCAGGAAGAGAGGTAAAATTCTTCAGGTTGTGGGGTATTTGTTTCTACTCCAGCCTGGCAGTCAAGGCTAAAGCCTGAATACAGATGCGTGAGGCATCTTGATATGTAAGGCACTTAGTTTTTTATTAAAGGCATAAAGGTGAAACTGTGCTAAATATGTACAGAGAGGACGACGTGTTTGATATGTGAGACAGTTCACATCTTAACATATATCAGAGAATTCATTCCAGAAAGGAACCTCTTGAATGTGATAAATATGGCAAAGCCTTTAATCACATCTCAGCCCTTAGCGTCAGAAAGCTTACACTGTAAATAAACTTTACTAACATTATATGTGAGGAAAACTTTCACATATAGCACTCGTTGCTTTGGACAGAAAATGAATTCCGTCAGTACGTTCCAGTCATAGAACGAATTTCAGAAACACTGCAGAGGAAACTCAATCTTAACTCCAGAGGATCCGCAGAAGAAAACAATGTGGGGAAATGCTAAAGAAATAGCAAAATGTGCTTCTTACAAAAATTGTTAATGTTGGGTACTTCTATATATTTTGTATGACCATGATGTCAGTGTCTTGTGTTTTGTACCTCCAGCCCCTGTTGTTATTCTGTATATTCTCTGTAAACAGATAGTGTATTTTATTTTAATCTATTTGACAGAACACATCACTCCAAGAGAGCAAAGTTTTGGAGTGAGTAGTGAAAAAGTCAATGTGGTTATAGACAAAAAATCAGTTCACAGAACTGAGGAGGAGGAAAATGAGAAAAAATTTCCATAGTTTGGTGCTTATCAGATCTGGAGAGGAGGGTAGTCGATTGTTAGGAGAGACAAGTTCATAGGGCACTCAAATGGAACAATTCCTGTAAACATCTGTAGCTTCCTGAGAGTTTTCTCTTCAAAGCCAGGAATTTAACCTCTTAGCTGCCAGATCACCATTTCAAACAAAGAGAACAGGTTCTCAGAGCTTGTCTGGGGAGAAGGAGGGTCTTCTCCATGAATCTAGAGGAGGGAGTATACTGGAAAGGCCAGTGGGACCACTTAACTTGACCGGATTCTGTAAACCATAGTCCTGCTTCCCCCACTAACTCTTAAATCCTTATGCTTAGAAATTTTGGGATAGGGAAACACCAAGGTGAACTCTTTCCTGGAAAATAGGCACAGATGCCTCCAGTTCCTGGCATTACAGAAAGTTTTCCTGATAAGGCTTGAGAAGCATTTTGCAATATTCCCTTGTTTGTGCTCCTGCGTGCCGTCCCTGCTCCCATTTCTTCCCCGGTTTATGATGATTAGGAGAGAGGACTTGTGAAGATTCATAGCTGTGAAAGAATTCTTTTCTAGTTTTTATCCTAGAATTGATCACCTTTTATTGCAGGGTCTGGTCATCCTGATGTACGCATCTAAAGCTAGCTAACCAGGTTCATCCTGCCACCTCCTGGAAGGTTCGTTGTGTGAATTGGAGTAACAGTGTTAAAACGTAATCAGACAGTGACCACAGTACTTGCCAGGGGAGCTGTATTTTTGTGTGTCCCACTCTGAGCAACTTCTCAGAAATGTTTATGAGGGGGCTGGGGTTCTCCATCTGGGAAACCAAATGAGGGTCTACAGATTGCCCAGTGAAATACAGAATCAGAAAAAAGGAAATTAAGTGGTATAAATAGGTCTTTTCATAGAAGTTAGAGTAGATTTTTATTTCAACTACTACTGGAGAATTTAATAAAAAGCATTATTTGAAAAATTTTCGTAACAGATTTATGTTTCATTTTTAGAATGAACACACTTGCACATTTAAAAGCAGTTACTTATTTTGCTATTCAAATTAATTTTTTATTCTATCTAAAAATGAAATTATCTGTTTTACTTTTCAAAGCATTGTGAAACAAACTTGAAGTTATATGGAGGTAAGCCATCTCCAATTCTGCAGGTCAAACAGAAGTTTGGGAAATACTTCGGACATCTCATAATACAGAATGTCTTAACATGAGAACTTAGTTTCATGTTGTCTGGTTCTGTTTAATAGTGGATACCACAAACCAAGTTTTTCTCATCCTAAAACAGCGGAAGGTAAAGAGTGGGCATTAGGTTGACTTCTAAACAATGGTCTGCTGTGATTTTAACAGCTTTTTTTTTTTTTAATCTTTGAGATTCTCACCTCCATTTACTAAAGAATCATGAAGTATTTACACAGTAATCAGCAAAGTTAATTGGTCTTGAAATTACAATTTATCCCTTCAGCAAGCACTCATTAAGCAGTGAGGCTGAGTGTTTTAAGAATGAAATCTGTGAGTGATTGAAAGGTGGGATTGAAACTCGGATTTCATTCCAGTTTCAGATTTAGGTTTTAAGTTCCTTTGGTCCAGGGAAGGGACTAGGCAACCCCAGTCGCCCCAAATCTCTGTCAGTTTGTCTCCCGACGAGGTCAGGTGTTTTAGGAAGGAGCGAGGGGAGGAGGTTTTTAACAGCGCCTGCTCCCAGCTGAGGAGGAATAGTGCCGACGACGCCTGGCGGAGGGAGAGGAGAGAAACTTGGGGATGTGTTGCGTCAGTGCTCGCTCGCCTTCCTCCTCAGCTCAACCACTTAGCAGCTGAAGGAAGGTTTCAGTCCGGCGGAGCGTGTTAGACTGAGATACTTCTGCTGGTAGGCGGGGTTCTTACGTGAAAGCAAATACGTGAGGGGGGCGGGGTGGGAGGAAGCCGATTGTGATTATGCAGGAAAATCTTGTTCTAAAAATCTATGAGTTTAGGGGTAAAGGGTGATATGCAAGCAAAATCAGTAATTATTTTAAAATGAACATATGTATTTTTATTAACTTTTAGTTAAATATAGATTATTACAACCAACTCGACATGATAAGCCTAAATCTATATAGAGAGCTAACTCAGGCATTGTCTTGTTTATCTGTAGACTGGATAAAACAACCCTTTCCTGTTGTGTCAGTTCCTAGTTTCTTAGTTTAGAATAAATTAGACCAAAAGAAGAAACTCGCTTGTCTTTAAATACCTGCAGAATTAAGTTATTGCTGTTAAAACCTGGCCTTTTCATTTTGCTAGTCTTGGAAGAGTCCAGATGCTTGGTAGATGTTCAGTAAGTGATTTTAAATTAAATTTGTTCATTTAAAATCCTCATTAACTTTTCTAGAAAGGCTTCTTTCAATAAATAATGGAATCTTAGAGGAAAAGTGGTTTGTTTTTTTAGAAACTAAGGAACTCCTCCACTGAAAATAATCATTTGAAACCTTGATTGAGGATTAAAGTTTCAATCATGAGACATGGCAGCAAAAAGAAATTTATATGCATTTATAGTCAATGGTCCATTTTAGGAGGCCGGTGGTGTCTGACAAATGCTAGAGTAGTGAGGTTGGGGAAGGAAATTGTGGGGATTTGTAATAAATATTCTCTTTATGTTGTTTCTCTTCTGGGTCATGGTAAAACAATAAATTATCATCTCTAGGTGGCAGTATTTGTGGCGCTTGGTTTTTTTTGTCATCCTTGGTTGTGTAAATACACATGTTTTGGGTAAAGAAAAAAGTGTGATTTCGAAGTTAAAAACTGGAACTGTGACCCACAAACAATCCTCACACACATGAACATGTTCTGAGTAATTTCACAGAGCTCTGTATGAAACACCACCTTAGAGCTCCAGGTAGCTTCTTGGAAAGAAGGCAAGAGGGTGAAAAACCGTGAAACAAAGTAGCTTTTTAATGATCCCCCCCAAACAATTTTCTTATAAGTTGGAACCATTAAAATAACCTTTGACCAATTTATGAAACTTAGAAAACTGAACATCCTAAGGGTAGGTGCAGCATGCAATCAATAGTTGAGACCTTCAAACTATGACCTCTAACCTGATAACCTTGTTTTGTCACTGCATGATATATTGAGACAAATTCTATTTGATTTTTTTTTACTTTGTCTCATTTAAATAATTGACTTATTCATCCTTTTCAGAAACCAGAATAGAGGTGCAAAGTGTTCTGTTTTCCTGCATGCTTCAGTTTCAGAATCCTTAAGGTATTTAATACTACCCCCTGCCCTGCTTGCTTTCCAAGGTTATGGCGGAATAAGCAAATTTTTTCTAAAGTAAATAAAAGGTGGCACATGTGAAAAAAACATGTATTTTTACTTGGGTATCTTCACATCCAAATCCCTGTTCAGGGGATCTTCACCCTATCCTGTCCACCTGTCTCAGCCTGTGTTCCCCACAGAGCAGAAACAGGTGAGGGCTTGTGTGCAGATGATTTACTTAAGGAAATGATTCCAGAGAACAGAAGTGAGGGACAGGGTAGTCAAGAACAGGAAGAAATCCAGTAGTTTATTGGACTTGGTCACTGCTATGGACAGTGGGTCTTGTGAGAGATTCTTATCCCAAGTTAATAAAGGCTTGGACACGGAGACGACGAGCCTTCCAGCGCCAATGTATAGACAAGAGCCCTAGGAGTGACAAGGGTCAGGGTTCACCATCTGAGCTGCTCTCAACATTTCACTCTGTCCAGTCCAGTTCAAAGCCTGGTGGCTTCCTCCACTTCCTCCATTCCTGCGCCTTCGTTATGGAGAGCTGACAGAGGCAGACATGCCCACGTGGCTGCCTTGGTGTCTGGCCCCTACTAGACAATCCCCTAGTCTCGATTTCACAGTCTGGGTGTCTCCTGCCCCCGCAAACTTCCGTGCCTACCACAGCCTCACCTCACCCCTTCCCAGCAGAGACCCCCTCAGCATTCTTTCCCGAGGGCCCCAGGCCATCCGGATGTGCTTCACTCTGGTCCTTCCTGCTCCCTGGAGCCCCTTGCATGCTGCCTGCAAGGGGTATGGCCTCGATCTCGGGTGCCTCTAAGCTCCTCCTGACCCTTCAGCATCAGTTCTACATTTAAATAAGCACAAACTTGTAGATTTAAGGGGCAAAAGCAAATGTGTAAAAATCTTTTGTTTGACCTTGTCTCTTCCTTTTAGCTACCAATCCTCTACCAAGTGGAGCATCACTGCTGTTTTCATCTCTTCACTGCCAGTGTCCTCCCTCTTAAAGCCCCTGTGACTCAGCCCTTATCCCACCTACTTCAGTGGCACTGTTTAAGGTCGCCGGTGTTCTTGACAGAGCATTTTCTCATTTTTCTATAACATTTGACCATTTCCTTGAAACATTGTCAGTTCACGTTATGCTGTCCTTCAACTCCTCTTCCTTCACTTATGAGTTATAACAACCATGAATTTTCTCTAATCCACATATCAACTTCGCAAAGACAGTTGCCCCATTTTACAGATGCAGAAAGTGAAGTGGCTGACCCAGCAAGTGGCAGAGCTGGATTTTAAAAGCAGGTGTGTCTGACTCCAGCAACCAGATTCTTTCCACTACTTAATTGTCCCCTGTCCTCCTTTATGAGCTCAATTATTCTCCCATCTTCATACATCACGGCTGTGGTCCCACAGCTATGTTTATGGAGCAGCCTAGCATAGTGGTTAGGCACACAGGCACTGGAGCCAGTTTGCCTAAGATCAAGTCCTTCATCCACCACTGACTTGCTGTGTCTTAGTTTCCTCATCTGTAAAATGGACATAGAGTTATCCTAAGCATTAAATGAGCCATTACACTTGGAGCGCCTACAACATTGCCTTATGTAAGTGTTCCAAAAATATTAGCTATGATTATTTCCTCATGTGCCTCTTGCTCTTCTCTCCTGAATTCTCATTTACCCCTCACAAAAGTCTCCCTTTTGTAAGTGAAACGTGCTGGCAGTGTCCTCCATCCCATGAGTTCCTAAAACACATCACCTTGAAATCAGGTCTTTATGAAAAGACTGTTCAGAGACCATTTCAGTCCCAGATGTTACGGACAGAATTCCACACGGTTTCTGTGATTCTCCCAAATTGTCCCAATCCTTGCTCAATTCCTTCCCCTGCCCCAATCCTCAGCTAACAAAATTCCTTTTAAATCCCAAATCCTCTGAGGAACCAAATTTCCCCTGGAACGATGGAAATTGCTGCGCAGCTTCAGGAGGCCTTTCTTGTCCCAAACCAGCCGTGTCCCTTTGCCAGTAGATCCCATCAGTGCCTCCAAGTCTCAGATGTCTTCAGCACGGCCTCCGCTCCAGATTCTTTAACACAGCAGGTACTAGGCTGACTCGACTCTGCCTGGCTTATGTCATCATGTGCCCTGCATTTTGTCCTGGATTCCACATTTTAAAAGACAGACCAACTGCAGGATGGTAAGGGCAAAACCACCTCCTGCGCAATAGGGTTTTGCTTGGTGAGGAGAAAACTCACTGGGAACTCGTCTCTGCCCTCAAATATCTAAAGGCCTGTCGTGTTAGAAGAGGGATTCAATTGCTCTGCATGACTCCAAGAACTAGAACTAAATCCTTTCCAACAAACATTGTTGTCAGGCCATGTGCTGAGTGTGAGGAATAATAAAACAAAAGGTAACAGCAATGAGTAAGGCAGACAAGTAAAGGCAGCTCTGCCCAGCCCCACCAGGCCTTAGGGCAAGTTAGAAAAAGGCACCCCTTCCTCAAGACACTTGACTGCCTCCTGCTGGCAAGCATAACTATATAGTACAGCTCCCTGATAACGAGATGAGTGGTGGCCCCTGGCGTTGTGCAGGGCACAAGTTGCACAACCGGAAGGAGTGGTCCTAGTGAAGGCCACTGGAAGAAGAAAGAACCTTGTCGCAGAGCCAGCCAGAGCAGGTGGCTGTGATGCATCAGTTCAGGTGTTCAGGGATGGCTGGGGGACACCTGGGTCCTGGGCAGGAAGGGATGTTGCATGGGGGAAGGCTGGGCCAGATGCCCGTTGTGATCTCCTTCTCCTCTGAGATTATGCCAATTTTTTCTGGGTTCTTCCACAAACAAGGGGGAACAAGCCAGCAATCTGCTCTCGTAAAAGTCTTGGCAGGAAACTCTATCTTCTCTAATTAAGGAGAAGGCAGGTGGCCCTCTCCAGGGAAGGCAGACTGGAAAAAAGGATCTGTGATAGGTGGAGCCACATATATTCCTGTGGGGCAGGGGGCAGAGAGGGTTGACATTAAAACAGAAGAGGGGTGGCCCGACAGTGTAGTGGTTAAGTTTGTGTGGTCTACTTTGGCAGACCAGGGATCATGGGTTCAGATCTTGGGTGCAGACCTACACAGCTCATCAAGCCACACTGTGGTGGCATCCCACATACAAAAGAGAGGAAGATTGGCACAGATGTTAGCTCAGTGACAATCTTCCTCAAGCCAAAAAAAAAAAAGAGGAAGATTGGCAACATATGTTAACTCAGAGCCCACCTTCCTCACCAAAAAAAACCAAAAAAACCCAGAAGAGATCAGAAATAATATTGTAGCCAAGAGTTTTGAAGATTAAAAATCCCTTACTATTGGTATAGGTAGTTGCAGAGCTAGTTCATTCTCACATGATCCAAATGCTTTCAAGTTGTCAGAACAGGTATTATTATGCCCATTTTCCAGAGAATCCGGTTGTCTATCCAAATCTCCCAAGGCTTGTTAGCAGCAGAGCTCCAGCTCTAAGCTGTGGGGCTAACTAAATCACTCCACTTTTATTCTCCTTTCCTTTCATTTTCTTTAGCTGAATGAATGTCTTTGCAGCTGCAAGTGGACTCCTTCTGGAAAGAAAGAAGGGAAGTTTTCAGACCCATAAGGGGTGAGCAGCTTTCCTAGCCCTGTTCTAAGAGAAATCAAGGTTTGATCGCCCTCTACTGGCCAAGCATAGCGATGGCAGCAAAAATAAGCCATGGTGAGAGTGAGGGAGGGTGATCCAGAGAGCAACCATTTTAGAGAGACCCGGGCCCACCCTGCTGAGAGAAGAGGGAGGGAGCCAGGGCCCACAGTAACCCTGCAGCTTTTCCCCTTCCCGATTTCTGCTACAAGGGGGAGGGGAATCCGTTTTCTCTTTGAAACCAAATCTTGAACCGCGGGACCTTCAGAGGGCCCGCGGTCAGTTCGGACATTTTACATTCCAAGATTCAGAAGTAACTTTAAGACAAGATCATGGAACGGTTGTAGGTGATCTTTGGGACAATCATACGTGATAGTTTTCAAATATTTTGAAGGGCTGACAAGAAGAATAACTACATGCATTTTGTGAGAGAAAAGAATCAATCAAGACTAGGATCAATGAGTTGAAATTATAGGAAAGCAGATTTTTGCGTTAATTTAAAGAACTTTTAGCAATTAGAACTCTCCAAAAGGAGGGAACGGTACTCTAGAGTAGTAAGTTTCCAAGCAGAGGGCTGTTGTAGAAAAGACGTTTATGAGAGGTTAGAGTATGGATACCAAGATGACACACACAGTCACCATTTATTGGTCTGGGGTCTATTATCACTGAACACATCTGTAATTAGTTGTTTACAGATCTGCCAAGAACTGTGTGTATTTTCAATTTTTTCCTTGTGCCGCAACACAA